AATGAATCATTAGTGCACGAATATTTATCGATTAACACTTACAAGAATGTCTCATTCCCGAAATTTCTTCTAATTCCGACATTTAAACGGTACGTATTAACGTTTCGTGAAAGGATGTTAGAAAATTACCAAGAAAACGCCACAGTATGGAAGGATGAGCCGCCATTTATATAATGAAGCGGAATCCCAAAGAAAACAGTGGTCGAGGATGCTCTAAATAAATTTAGGAAGTTGTAATAGGCTGCCAAAATATAACTTCATTCGTGGATTATACTGACATGACTGTCTTCTCTCGTGGTTTATTAAAACATCACCGTTGATCCTTTGTTTGAATTGGTTATGCCGAGGATAGCGCTCTGTTTATTCAAGGATGAGTTTCGTGTTATAAAAATAAGCGCTATTGTTCTAGTTTGGACTATTTGCGCCTTAGAATAAGACTAGAAACTAGAAATTGAAACTATCTTGATAAGCTTTGGAAGAGTTTAAACATGCATATTTTAGTTTTAAGTTAGAGCAGACGGAGCCAAAGCGTCCTCTTAGATGAACTTTCAAACGACTTCCGCTGATATGATTTTCTTTTGTAATGAATGAACGTTCGAGAACTAAAGTACACGCTAAAGTCGACAAGTCCTTTGAACCAAGCGTTCCGATAAATATTTCAAGACTCCTCTCTGACACAGTGCAGTTAAAACACCACAAAAACTTTTCAGAGAGTTTGGTGTCTCCTGACAATGGTAAAAACTGAAATATTATGTTTATTGATGTTCCAAAACTCTATTTGCCTTTCGTGAGTGGAAAAAATATATTTCTGCCGGTTAGATAAGCATTTTAAGCTGTGAAATACCAGTAACCCTAACATTTTACAAAGGTGCTCTTTTTTACATTGGATACTCGAGCCAAATCCATTCCATAGTTTGAACTGACAACCTGAGGTATCTTTCATCTCTGCCAAGGAGAGATCTTCAGGAATTGTTAAGCGTTACGTGCACCTTTACTTTTCATAAAACAAAAGATGACAAATTAAGCAAAAAAATAAAAAAGGGGTTTGTTTGGTAGCTACAAGTATTACTTCAGCGCTGTAAAAACGTAACTCAGTAAACTATAGTTGAACCTCATGGACATTGGTGAGAGTGCAGGAGGAGAATGTGGAAGACACTTGTTCTGGTGATATACTCCAAAGAAACTTACACCAAATTATCGTGGATTTTGAACACAAAAGAATGTTTCTTTAGAAACTGCTTTTCAGGATTTTTATTCAAAATACTGCAATTTGGATGGTCTTGCTCGTACATTCTAAATATCATTCTCTGCATGAAAGATGTTCTCTTGAAAAACGAAGAGCAGCGAATTTTTGACATCAAACCCCCAGTCAATGTCAGCGGAAGTCGTCGGGTGAGAGTCGTATTTTCCAGAAGGATCGAGTTCAATTGTTTTGTGATCGATTCAATTCATTTAACAACTTTTTTTATCCACCTCAGCTTTTTATGTAAATCAATTGGGAGGGCAAAACTGAGAAATGCCACTCGCATTTATTATTTAATGGGTATTTTTGGATTTCCTGTGTTACTAATTTTTCTGACTTAACCCCAATTTTGGACATGGTCACGTATAAAGAGCTTCCTATCCTGCGTGGCTGGTTCATGATCCATCATGCAGGGGCAACTGCATAACTAAGAATGATCCAATTATACCAGCGTAAATATTCTCATCTAAAAATCCGTGGAATTTACGAGAAGGTTATCGAAATAATCTGATAGTTCTCGAGATGTTACGTGATCAATAAACAATTCTTACCCTTTTAACCTTAGGGAAATTTATCGAGTGTCCTAATCGAGTTGCTTCGTGTATCTAGCGACTGAAAAGCGACGAATGTAAACAACAGATATCTTAAGTTGCAAATTGCAAACTTTATTGCTGGTCTTCCATTGTGAAGTGGTTATGCTCAAATATGGGTTTGTACTGTTACCATGGGCGGAACACCAATATCCTTTTACTCTTTTGCTAAATTTTTGTTATTGCTCGTTCAAATGTTTTATTTAGGTAACAAAAGATTGATCTCAGTAAAGCAATGATTACGTAAACTAGGCGCCCTTGAAAATTCGTGGTCTCAGTATTGAAATCTTTCTTAGTCCCAACCAATGAAAAAAGACAGCGGAATATAATGTCCTAGCAAACTGATCCCGCGAAATAATTTAAATCTAAAGCCAAGAAAATAGATAGTTAGGAGGAAGTTGGATGAAGGTGTTGGACAAGCAATTATCAATTGTCTTCGTCGCTTCATGCGACGAAAACTAGTGAGTAATTGGATTACAATGCCGATAGATATGACTTTCTCGCTTTGTGGTTTTCGCGAACTCTGATAGTGCCGGCGACAAAGTGGTCAAAACATGGCGAGTCGTGCATTCCGCCACGCTACTCTCGAGAGTGACCCACCTTCTACAGGCACAACAACGGGGGATCGATCGACGAGATTTTAAAAATCTCTCTTTTGTTACCCTGCGCGATAAAACCGTATGGAAAATAATAGCTTCCCTCTGCTTGGGAACTGTGAATTGTCTCGGATAAATTAATTTGAGGTAAACTAACACACGATAGTCAGCAGGGAGTTTAAAGATAAGCGAACACGTTGTTGTCACGTGGAAAGCGTTTTAGCCGAAACAACTTTTCACCAAAGCACCTTGAATGCAAATCATTCCCCCCCATAATAATGGCACATGTTAGTAACAGAAGGGAATCCGAAACTACTCAAACAGCAAAGCTGGATAATACGAAGAGAAGCCCGCATTTCATTGGATGACATTTATAGCTCAATAATTGATATTTACAAAAGAAATCTCTTGCCAAGCGCCTACAGGGCTAATCCACCAAAAATATACTTCTTTGACATGACAATTACAAATCAAGGCAGCAAAACATACAAAGGCCTCTAGAATTACATACTTGCCATATGTTTTCACAAGTGTTTCTTCGTCTTTGGATCAGTAAGCTTGCTAAGCAGGAAAAAAATCGCAGCCTGATCCAGCTAAGTTTTGGATCTCTTAAAATCTCATTACTTTTCTGCTGTTCACCCTTACTAACATGAAAACTTAAACCATTTCGATAATATTTATTGCTGTCTTTAGTAAATAAGCACCGAGAATCAACAGCAATTATGGCACATTAATTAAAACGAGCAACGTTCGAACCTTCGCAAGGTTGCATTTTGGAGAAAATTGGAAGCAAAAACTTTCAAAGAATCTTTCAAAAATTCTACTCTCGGCATGAAAGGAAACGAGATTTGAAAGCTTCTTATCTTTGGGAAATTTCAAATTTCCGTGACTCACTTTTACTATCTGAAGCTTGTAATCTGCTGAGTTATTTTGCCTGCTGAAATGATTTCGTAAGTGCGGAACTGATAAGACATACATGTACATGAAGTATTTGTAGAATGATTTGCACGATCATTTCATTCCCTAAGAGGGTGGATGATTTATCTCTCAAGCAAACTGATCAGGCAAAAGTTTCAGATGTAAATTTGAACGAGAGTAATCCGGCAATAACTACTGTAAAACGTTCAACTTAAGAAACAGTCAGTGCGCGTTTTGGAAAGGCGATTTACATATCCATTAACAGCTCAACACTTCAGCAATTTATCACATACTTATGTCAATCACTAAGAACGTAAAGACCACACAACAAAAGCACTTCTACGAGTCACTGATTCCGGATCATCTTTCTTGCTAAAGTAGTCATTTTCTTCAAGGGCAATTCTCTTTGATTAGGTCTAACTTCGTTAATTTATAGCGGGGATATGTCTTCGTGAGAGACCGAGCGTTTCATATCGCATCCGAACAACTAGCTTACCGTGTAAAGAAAAGCAAATCAACACAAGTGCTAGTTACATTCCTCTGGCACGTAAATGTAAATCAACTTCTTCAAGCTGCGAAAATCTTAAGTCAGAATAAGCCTTCTTAGCCGTTTCGTGAGGGGACGCAAAAATTTCCGATTCCTGCATGTTGAAATAACTTGAAAATGTTAGAGGGGGACATAAAGAGTTTAACGCGGGGGGCCTTGTACTGAAGTTAACAGCATGAAAAATTTGGAATTAAAACCACGTGTGAGCTCTCACGTTATGTTTTTTTCTCCTTTACAATTGTTGATGTACTTTTCCCTCGAGACTTCAAGTCACCAAAGTGACGCAAACTGGTGAAATAGTGTGTACCATCCAGCGATACAAGCGTAGATAAACTGTAATTGCTGTTGACAATGCCCATTGGTTTGCGTGTTTTATTAGTCGTCCAACTGTCACTGCAGTATATAAACAAGGAGGTCATCTTAAAATTACAACTATTGTGTCCCCCTGCTGCACTACTCTAACTCGCCACACTCTGGTGGTCACAGTAAATGTTATCCAAAGTGACCGTTTTTAAACTTGTGATAAAATCATTCCCACTCGCTCTCGAGACCGGTGATAAAATCCTTTTGATATTGCGCAGGTTGTTCCGTGCCTCCGCTACCGAGCGTCCGTTTGCGGTTATCGTAGAACCTTATGCGGGCGAGGAAAGAAAAACCAAAAAGAACACATCCTAACCGCTTAGCTCTCACAGGAGTTTAAACCGTGCTGGCAAAACATGGACTTCGCGAGGCTGGTATTATGCAGTGATAATGGGTTTCCACTGTTAGCACCACAGGACTTTATCGGCTTCTCTAATCCAAGGAAATCAGTTAAATCACTTCCATCCCATGCCAGAAATCAATCAATCTTCAAGGTCTCGATTCTATATTGCTGAAGGGTTTTACCAATTTGTTCATCGGAAAGCTAAAAGACAGCGGCTGCTAGTCGTGTGAGAAGACTGAAGCATAATTCCATGTCGGGAAAAACCAGCGTAGCCAACTGTAAATTGTAATTGACTGTCAATTAGCCAGTCGCAGCTTGACTGACGGGCAGTGGTGTTTCTGTTTAACTAGTAACACCGCCCCCTCATCCGATTCTATATAGAAGCTATTTAAATGGAATGCCCGTGACGCCACTACGCAAACTGAATCTTGAATACGGCGCAAACCTTTCTCATTGATTTGAACGCGTACCATATGCTACCGTAAGGCACAGGAGCCATGTTGGTTCACCGTTTTGGTCTTGGTTTAATGTTTGCGCATATCGTTTACTTATCGGCAATTCCTATTCTCCTTGACGACAAAAAGAAAACTTCTAGTCTTGTCGATGGCTCGGTTGGTCTCGAGCCCTGGGAAGTAAATCAAGAAGTGATTGGCCGTAAAGGTGTGCACGGCTTCTGTCCGTTCTTTGAATAGCTGTGTTTATGTCTCCATACTTGCAGAAAATCCTTTGATTTGCCGCTCGTCGTCGTTAACGCTAACCACAAAAGTAAATTGCGCGTAGACCGTGTCAAACGCCGCGGAATACGTTTGGAGCAATTGATAGCTTTTGAAAAAAGAGCGGGATCCATACTTAAGAGCTCTTTTCTTTACTATCTGCCCTAATTAACCTCTAAAGTAATATCTAACCAACTGGAATATTTGCAGGTAATAAGGCTTTTTTTGACGGATGGACTCTATACCAGGGAGATATCGTTTTAGACTGGAAAACGCGCCTTATTATCCAAGGAGGACATATCCGAAGGAGACGAGCTGTTAAAAAATCACAGACATCGCGATGGCCAAACGGAGTGATACCTTATGTTGTAGACAGAAACTTAGGTAAGCTGAAACCGATGTTTTAGTTCCTTACACTCATCCCCTTGACATTACTTCGAAGTTGGCGTTAGCCAAAAATTTGAGCCTAGGAAAGTTTCACTCAGCCAGATCTGCAGTAAACAACAAACCGAACAAAGTGTCTCAAGCGGAGGAGAACGATTTTGCCATGTTATTAAGAATTCTTAGTGTAAATGAAGTATTTTAATCCCCCGCAAATCAACTTCAAGTCTCAGAGCGAATGGGGATCCAGTATTATAACTGTATTTTTACTATTCTCCAAGAGTTTACTGGGCAACCTCAACCCACGCGACAAGTTATGTACAGAAGACTTATGGGAATGTTTCTTCGTAAATTATGGCCTTTTTCGCCAAGTCATAGCAAGTTAGAACCCTCGCTTTTCATTGCTTCCAAACATGTCATCAATTCAAAAGCGGCATACCTAAAATGTTTTAAAAACATGAACGTCGAGAATGCGTACGACAGATTGAATTTTTTGCCATCAAAAGAACTCAGAATGCATTTCTCTGTAAATATGTGTAGTGGATATAGGTAGCTTGAGCAATTAATCACACGACGTAATGTAGTCATTAGGATGTCGAAGTAGAGATGGTTAAAGTTTAGACAATGGCCTGTCATTGTCCTGCTTAATTTTCAATGAAGTTTGTGCTGACATTGAATATTTTAAGCGATAAAGGATCGATAGGATGAGTGGGAAGCCGTGGAAGAGCACACAGTTCCAATTTCATAGAGTGATGTGTATGCATGAAGGCGGAGCCACGTCCACTTTTAATTGATGCTGTATTCTTCTCTATCAACAATGGCCTCATTGCCGTCAATTTTAATTTAATTACGATATAAAACTACTCAATATGATGCGTTTCGCCTTCTCTTTGTTGCTGTTTTCTTATAGCCTCGAAAACCAAGAGGGAAATTAAAAAAGCTCTAAAGCATTGGAGAAGAAGGACGTGCCTGCATTTCCGCCATAAGCGAGACGGCGATGTCGATTATATTCGCTTTGTTTATGAAGGAGGGTAAGGATTATTAGTACCTCTCACTTTGACTGAAATATTCATGTATTCCGTGTTTTCCGGTCACTCTTAATACTTTCACAATGGGAAACACACGCAAGCAGCTACCTACTAAATGTGACAACATAAAAGAGGGTATTGTAAAAGCCGCAAGAGCGAGGAAGTAGGCTAATTTTATGGGTGACTTTTCCTTTGAATACGTTTTAGCGCGTTTTTTTCTGATTATTGTGCCATTCTAGACATAACAGGTTCTTTGTAACCTTTGTAAACCTTTTTATATCTTCAGACCACTAAGTACCTGCTATCAAAATCATCAAAAAGCGGACCACACAAAAAGCGGTTCAGTACTCTAATTTGCTAACTCATTAACACTCTTCTTCGGTGACATTAAGAGAAGGAGTGAGTCCGGAAACTCGATGACATTTATATCGTTAATTAACTCATTCAAGTGCGGTCAGCAACGAGCGTGGTTACTGGCAGTGCGCTGCACATACCGGAAGAGTATTGATTGTAGTGTTGTCTTAGTTTTCCTTCTTACTTTCAAAGCAAACAGAAAAAAGAAAACATGAATGGATACTTACAATAGCCGAACATCAGAAGAGACAGCAAAATAAAGAAATGATTTGATTAATTGCCGAGGCGATAAAACCAACCTTGAATGGCGAACGGCCGTGATTTGCTGGCCGGTTGTGGAATTAACTACAAACAAACATTTGACAGTTTTTCTATTGTTGACAAATGTCAATAATAATGAAAAGTTTTATCAGGACTTAAAATTACCTTTTGACATCAAGGCAGCCTAGAAATGTAAGAGCTTCCTTCGCGTCGCTCTTGGAAAACATTTTCCTTCATCCTTTTACCATCTTTGACCGTGCTACCGCTTTGCTATAGAACGCGATGAGTGGTTCACCGACGCATTGAAAACAAGATTTTGTCGTAAGCTTCGACATGAGACTTTAAAACGATGATTTATTGCAATGAAGCCAGGAATGAAAACAATTCCCTAAAAAGGTCTTTTTCTCCATTAGCGTTATCAAGTCTTGAACACGTAGTTCCCGCTTCTCGTATGCTTTTCCGTGTTTTTCCATCGACCAAACTTTAATTTTTTATCTTTTCATTGAAACATTAAGGATTGCTGATATTATGAAAAAATTGGGAAGTAGCTGTAACAGTTTAACTTTGTAAACAGCTTTGTGGCCTACTTCCTTGAGATGTCCAGCGAGCCAATCGCCTATCTTGAACAAACTTGCGGTGAAGTATTGTCTGATATACACGTGGAGACGCCAGCGATGCGAGTGACCACTGATTGCTTGATCATACTGCTTTCGGCTAAAAACAACGCCTGCTGCCTGCTTGAAATCACGAAAATTATTCCACTCTTTAATTAAGGAGTTCTTTTTGGCTTATATGTGAGTAACACAAGATGCTAATATAATTGTCATGTTTTTTAAGTCTAAAGCCTATAAAAGCTGCAAAGTATCTTCTTCGTGACAAGATCGTTTGTTGTTTTAATTATTCATCAGTTGTTTTTACCGCTTGGAAAGAAAAATCAATTGTTTTCACTTCGTCGAAACCATATCTAATTACTTTCGTCAAACTCTTCACCCTTATCTTAATCGTAATGAGATGAATTTCGCAATTCGGATAAATTTTTGTCATTCCCGCCCTAAATTGTCGCCTCCATTGGCTCTCATCCAAAGAGCGAAAACATCGCTATTGTCCCAACCTGCCTTTCAGATACGTCACCGAGCAACGTGGCTCTTCTCTGCAGGTAATGCCGAGACACTCAAAGCAAACTGAACCGAAAAAATTTGTTTAGGCATGCTGGTTTTGTAAACTGATCCATGAAAGTTTTCGACTAGCATTTTACAAAGTAAGACAACATATTAAACGCAGCGTAAAAACCATCGCAACTATCCAAACCACGACAATAGGTTATCTGGCCTAGCCTTGACAGTCTCTCTTATTTCGGCTGAGGCAAACAGATGAACTTGACAATTTAATTAATTTGTTGCGAAAATTAACAAGTTGAGTAATAAGTTTTATCAGACGGTTCACGTATAAGTTCCTGTATGACTTTCCTTTGCCATCTGTCCTTAGGTTTCAGTGCATAAGAGTTTCTCCCGAACATTTTTTTTTTCAAAACATTAAGTCCACGCCGGCTGTGCAAATGTGTTAGAGGTCGTATGTTTAAGAGCACCCTTTGGGAGATCAGTTGGTATCTTTTCGCCCAAATCTTGCTTTGTTTGGCGATATGTCAAAGGTCCGCTTGAATTCAAAACAATGTCCGCTTGTTTGTGTCTACTGGCAAACAGCTGTCGATCCATGAGTTCTTTGCATTCACCTCGTGCACTCGATGAATGTTCATGACGTTTACTTTAGTCCTAGTAAATTCTTCGTCAAATGAAAGACAGATATCAGTGAAATGGTGGTTTCTTTTCATAATATGAGAAAATAATCTGATCCGTTAGCATAATGAACTTGACATGGGGTCGGAGAATTCGAGAAGCATGCTAAAGTTTTGCGTGTGCTATTTTTAAGGACTTGTCATCGTTGAGACTAAATGAGCGATTCACTGCAATTCATTCTCCGTGAGGTTACGTGATGTTGACAAGCCTTTTCACATCATCTTTTGTTTGAAATTATAAGCAATCATTTTTCTGCGAATCTTGAAATTAGTTTTCACCAGGACCACACCCTTTATGCTAGTGGAGTAAGTGATTTGTTCGCTCGGTTGTTTGACAACCTTTAAGTTGTCGTGATTGGGTATATATAGTTGCAATTTCTTATCACTTCTTCATAAATCTTCTTCAAGCGTTGGTTGGCACGTAGAACCATGCAAACTTGCACTTAAATACCTCTGCTTATCTAAAAAACGGGTAGAGCATTAGTGGGACAACAGTCACAACCTTAACTCACTCACTATGGTTTTACCAATTTAATTTCACAACCAGTGAATGTTTTGTGAGCTTTTTACAGTCTTTCGGTATTAGTTCGATCGCTGGCCAGGATTATTTTGATGCGTTCTTTAGCAAGATACTTAAATCTCACCTTCCTTCAACCGGAGAATGATTACCCACCAGAAAGAGCCATTTTCAATTGAGCCTTGATCCCCGATTGATTTGGTTTAGCAAACTGGTTCCATTCTCTTAGCCAAACAAATTCAAAATTAAGAACCAATCGCGAGATACTCAAACGCGTTTTTTCCGCACTGCAAGCAGTTTGCTAGTTTTTACTTTACGTTCCCGGCATAGATTCTATAGGATAATTTTCTCTGCTCAGGTTTGTTTTTGTGAAAATTTTGCCTTTGGCGTTGGTTTTACGATGCTCGATCAAAATGCACTTTGGCCGTCAAGCAAACCTTACGAAATACTGCAAGATGAGTTTCAAAGAATTGGCATCCCATTTCTGTGGATGAAAAAAAATGCTCCGGGTACTAATCCATGCTCAAGAACCAGAATAGGCTTTAGAGTTCGCCTTTTTCCTAATCATGACCACTTGTTTTCAGATGCTGGTCGTACGTGGGCCGGGCAGGAGGGGAACAGAAAGTTTCAGTAGGTTCTGGTTGTGAATTCATGGGAACCATCATCCACGAAATTGGTCATGCTGTAGGTTTGTGGCACGAGCAGAGCAGGCAAGACCGTGATCACTACATCAGGATATTCAAGGAAAATATTCAGCCAGACATGTTTGACCAGTTTAGTAAGTGATGTTCATTTTCATTTGCTGCGACGAAGAGCTAACGCTTTAGGAACTCTTGACGGAAACCAGTTTACATCATCAACTCAGCTGATAAATCCAAATTATCTCATTCAAAATAATATAATAGTTATCATTAGCTCCATTAGTAGCAACATTTAGAGTTATCTTGAGCAATATTTGTAGTCTTTTGCTTCCATTAATCGTGTTGGTTTTGCATTTGAAAATCGAACTCTATGGAATCCTGATTATATCAAGTACCCCTCTACCACTGAGTTAAGGGAACTACAGACTCCAAAGTAAAAATCGGTAGCACGAGCTAGTAAGGGCTGATGTTCTCTTGTCTAAGGATCATACGAAAACTCTCACAAGTATCTGAGTACAACTGCGTCACTGGCCATGTGTTTTTAACGACGGGTTTAAAATAAACAAAATTCATTTCTACGTCGACAATAACACTGATGTTCTCACACAATTAGACTTAAAAACACTAGTAGATTCAAATTCTGCAAGCTGGGAGTTTGAATGTTTTAATAAACTCCTAAGTTGCCGGTCAAAGTAAGTTGAAGTGAAAAACCCTAAAATTACTTCTTTCCTTTTTCCTAGATAAGATGCCAAGGAAGGTAATGGATTCTATGGGTTACGAATATGACTATTTCTCCATCATGCATTATGGAACAAAGTTTTTCAGTAAAAACGGAAAAGCAACCATTAGAATTCGGAAAAAGGGAAGGAGGATTGGGGCCCAGATCGGACAACGTAGGAGTCTATCGTGGATTGATGTCGCACAAGTTCATGCCATGTACAATTGCAATAAATTACCATCAACGGAATCGAGTAAGTTGAATGAGGCAAAGTACAATTAAATTAATAATGTTTTCATTCAATGGAAGTAATTCAAATTTCACGTAATTTTGCGTGGTAAGGAGGGGTATGTTATTCCAAAGCAAAACGCTTAATGCCATGGTGCAGAAGGATCTAATATTCTTGATTTTATTGCTTTGGATTGTTTTTAAATCTCTCTTGTCCTATAAAATTCTCGGCTTAAGCTCTATCTCCTCTATCTCTATTCCAGTAACTTACTTCACTTTTGTACGCCTCTGAATCTAAAATAATTATGGAAGTTGAACAAAGCTAACGAAGATAACACCATCTTTGTTCCTCAGAAACGTGCTTCAATAGTACATCGGGAGATGGAAGAGAATACCGAGGACAGCTTAACTACACTGAGAAAGGCGTCATGTGCCAGCCATGGAATGAAAGATGGCCGCATGATCCCGAAGAGAGGAAAATTCGAAACCAAAATAGAGAGGGACTGGGTAAACACAATTATTGTCGTAATCCTCGTGGTAAACGCGCGCGGCCATGGTGCTACACGACACTTAAAAGGCCTGTATGGCAGTACTGTGACATTGTGATATGTAATCGAACAATTAAAAAGCACAGAGAGGACACTTGAAGTAAAAGCCGCGAACGCTTGAGATGGTGAATGGTGCGCGAGCGTTTTTGTAGCATCTAGTATCTGCGTGGATCGCTCAGCTTGAGCCCTATGCTAATGGTTCCGCCTGACCTAACATGGAATCCTCATTCGCGTGCGACAAAAAACTGAATGAGGACAAATTACACGTCGCAAGAATTAATCAATGTCTTTGGAAAGGCACTGAATCCAGTCATCGAGTGGAGCTTTGAGATCTAACTGACTTGTACAGAAAATAGGGATAGCTCTCTTTAATTTCAATGAAGACAATTTTATAGACCTTCAAGAGACAAAGTATATTCAACATCGGTGATGAAAGGCAATTAATTTTTATACAGGAAACCCAGGGCGTCAAAAAAACACCGAAAACGCATGTGCTTGGAGAGCTGCGGTTTGAACGTGTAAATAACCCGTGATCCCATCGACCTTGGCCTCATGCCGGCGAATTAAAAATGAAGAACATCGCAGCATTTTCCGGGTATTTTAATGGCCCTCTAAATATTTCCATGACTTAAAATATTGAGGCGACACTTATGTTTTCGTGATCATGGCTTGTTACACTATGTTATCATTTGTCCTGGCGAAACGTTCAACTTGGATTTCCATATCAATCGGGGTTTAACGTAGGCGATGTAGTAAAATTAGGCCAAAACCTTCAATTTTAAGTATCTAACGATGAGCATGCAAACCAAAGTTATTCTTGGCAACAAGTTCTATTCACACCACTTTATCCTGTGGTTTTGACAACTGCCTCCCGGCTAGGTCCACCAACTCGATATAAGCTTTTGTTTAAGGGATTTACAATATTTTTGGCCAACTTGTAAATTTTGTGGCGGTATGTAATCAAGGGTTTTGTTACGACAATTCAAGGAAGTTTCCAGGCGAGGCGTAGGATATCCAACATCACGTACGACCCTTCACTTGGTGATAGTCGCCCGTGTGTTGAAATCAGAGTGGGTTTTGCTTTGTAAGCATTCCTGTAATCATTGCCAATTATTATGACGCGTTTCACCCACGCCTGAGTCTTTGTCTTAACCGGAACAGACTCGAAATCTTCTGTATGTATACTGTAAAGACAACTTTAAATTATTGAATGTTCACTTTTATTATACAAAATTTTTGGCTCTCACTCCCGGGTTTTAATGTGAATTTGAAAGAGAAATCTAGTGTGACCCCTTTTTTTTTCGTTGTGCACTTGAGTTAAAGAAAACAACGCACTTTGATAACAAGAACCTTTCTTTGTCTTAATAGTTGTTTCCACATGTTAAGAATAATAATTTCGTTTTTTCTTTTATTATTGTCGTCAAGGCAGTTTCAACCGTCTATTGATTTCATACTAAACTTGGTAACTTATAAACTGACATCCTCTCTGAGTTGAAATGTCAATATGTAAATGTTGCTAAGAAAGTTAATGGGAAGAGTAAAAATAATACCGCGTTAATCACGGAATGGATATTTATGAGCCAAAAATCGTAATTCCATTCAACCCAGTATTAGTATCCAAAATTTATCATTCTCGAACGATAGGTTATAAGAAAGACAAATAGTTTAGTTTATTGTATGGATATAGGCATGGAAAGAATGAGATGTCGTGTTAAAATAATATATGTTTAATTTCATTAACTCACTCATGGTTAAAGGAATAAAATGATGTACAATATTGAATTCGTTGTTTTAACTGTTGCAATTTTCTTATGGTATGCCTGACATTTTATACAACAGTTACATAAGAAAAAAGAAATCAAACATAACTGATATATTTTCTGTAACAATATAGACATTGTTTGCTGGTAGCCTCGTTTCAGTGTCAACTTAGGCGAGGTAGTTTATAAAACAAGACTTGGTTTCTTGGGTGTGTGATTTCCTCTGTGACTGAACAATTTCTCAGAGCATTTTACAGAGTAGTTTTCAGTTGAGTGTAGCAAATAATCTGGGATTGCTTTGGTTTTTGTTTTGCTACGCTCTGTGATTGGTCCACTCTCTCAATCAATCTGATGCAAAACAAACCAATCACGACATGGTGACTCGTATTTTTCTCGCGCTTTAGCAGTTTGTTTGGCTTTATGTCGTTCTCACTGGTTCTTAAAGGTATTTCCTGCACTCTGATTGGCCGTTGACTTTCTGTGGTTTTTGTTTTACGACACTTAATCGAAAAGTGCCCCGAGAGTGATCTGCATCAGAGTGAGTGATCTGCATCAGAGTGAGTGATCTGCATCAGAGTTAGTGATCTGCATCAGAGTTACTGATCTTCATTAACTAGCGAATGAACAACTTCCTGTGTACCATATCAAACATGTCCAAATAAACTCTTACCTACATCTCAGGAACTTGAACTTGTCGCATTCTACTTACGGGTGTACATGTAGTAAGAAGGCAGAATCGAAGTTTTTCAATAACCTGTCCCTCGCTTCACAAAGTATTGATTCGGCCTTCTTTGCAGAAAAACTGAGCCGAGATTGTTCGTCCCTCTCCTTTGAAAACTATAAATTTTCAAGAATGAAAACAGAAAAAAAAAACTTTGTTTGTTTGTCTATCATGTTCATATGTTTGTTTGTTTCTGGAGAACTGTTTGCTGATTTGGGCATAAAAGAAACCTTTGCTGTTAAATTACATGGAAGGAGACTGCTGATGGCGCTTTTTTCAGCTCTCTTAGGAAATGTTGGGTTTCAAACATAAGCATTCTTACATTCATTTTAAAACTCAGTCGTGGAACGGGACCGGTCTGAAAGTTGCTTCTCTTGCAATTTTCAATACATTCCGTTCTCTTTCTGCAAGCCATCTTTCTTTAGCTACACCAATGTTAACAATAAATTTTCTCCTGTGATCAGCCCATGATTAGGTGGGAAAGACTCCTTGCGATTTTGAATATTGTTAAAGCAGTTTCCACTCAGGTTTCGAAAACGCAAACCAAAGAAATCACAACAGCAGTAATGACATCAGAGTCAATGCGATGACACCTTCAAAATTTGTTTTCGTCTGTTGTAAATTTGATTTGCAGCCTTTGCTAAATATATCGAGTTAATAAACTTAACAAAGTGCTCTTTTGTTTTCTTAGTCAACCCAAACTTGTTATGAGGTGACTGTTGTTGGTTTAGGGGAGGGGAGGGGCTGGTGCGCAGTTGTTGGGATACCGATATTGATAATCACTTCATTTCGGAGCTAAATAGACTGAATCAGTAAAACCTAGATCTGCAAGAGTTGACGAGGTCTTCCGCTGTACTCGAATCACACATATAGTTTTACTCTTTCATCAACTTAAGTTATTCCTCTGAACATAGTTAACTCCTTTTCGTGATATTTAGTTTTTACTCTTGTTTGGTGTAAGCAAAATCCACAAAATGCCTTGTTGAGCAATAGAGCTATACCTCCGGCCACCCTGGTGGGGGAAAGTTTCTCTCACATCCGGGACCTCGATGCCCAGTGCTTGGCTACCAGATGACAACAAAATGGAGGGAATTTCGTTTGAACATTTCCAAAATAACGAGAACTAAATGTAACTCAACAATTACACAGTATACGGACTAAATATGGATGAAAGACACTGGTGGTTTGCTACAAAGCTGCAAGAAACTTTTCATGTCGGGCCCTACGACAGCCCTACGATGCTCGAGGATTTTATGGCAGAGCAAACCACTCTTGACTACATTAATGACTTTTTGGCTCCAGAAGGGCATACGAAGCTGTTTTTCTACTGCCCTAAAGCAGATCCGAATAGTCTTTTGCCTAGAAAGATGAATATAGCTAGCTCGTGTGCAAAGCTTAAGGAAGTCATGGATGGAGAGGCGATCTGTTTGTATTTCATTCGTTCTAATTTGGAGCGCGTCATCGACCCTACGTGCGTGGAGAAGGAGGTGTTTTGTGGCGAGATCAAAGAGAATCCTTTGGTTCATTTTAGTTCGTTGCTCTCTGAGATATTTTCTCCGATTCTGCACGCACAGAAAGATTGGGGTCATTCTTCTGAGGAAGAAGTTTCGCACTTTTTAAACCAGTTAGACAAGTACACGAACACTTTGAGTGAGTATGCTACTGCTACAATTGCACCTCAGCAGATTTTAAAAAAACCAGAGTCGCAAGTCACGTCTGACTTTAAACAGAACAGAGCAGCTGCAGTGAATCCTTCCATTTTGCTGGAGTATGAGAATCTTGTTTTGGATTGGATTGCGACCATTGAAAATATACTCACTGATGGACTGGAAGAAAGGTACCAAAATACAATCATTTTCTATTGCTGGGATTTGATGACTTTTTTGGGTGTACTGATTTTTTATTTTTCAGTGTTATTTTGGGCAATGGTGATCATGATTGAAATGGAATTAATGAGCTCAGGGAGCAGAGGGTAGGGGGAGGTGCCTGTCTAGTCAGTCTCTAACTGCAGTAGGTTACCAAGGTAACTCTGAGCAGTTTATGTTGCCTTTAGTTCAGTGGTCACTAAATTGACCATTGATGGTGTCAGAACTGTGCTATACATGCAGGCTTTGTTCAGTGTGCAGAGTATGGCTGAACTCAAGGAGATCTTATGGGTGCAATGCATTCTGGCATGCTGAATGATCATTTGACTAAAAACTTGTGCGTGCACCCACCAGAATCTGCAGACTGGGTCTTTCTATAGGGATGATGACAATGCATGTAAATATTTAAGATAACAGAGAATTCACTGAATTGAAAATATCATGAATTTGCTTTGTTCAGCATATGCTTTCTTGCATTCTTCTGCCAGCTGAAAATATAAGCTGTGCCATGAAATTTTCCAAAGTAGAAGGGATGATAAAAGGAACATGTTGGGTCTATATTTGCAAAATTAGACTCAACTCTGTCCAAGTACCTTGATAAGTTTGTTCATGTACTGTGTTTGTATATGAGAACTCCATTACCCTGTGCAAGCTCTGTGCTATTTAGTGGTAAAGTATCTGACCAGAGATTGGATGGAAGGGACTTCTCTCCCTCCTCACAAATTACTTTGATACCCCTCTGTTGTTTTGGCATCAACCTCCTCATTAGAATGTACTTTTTTCTGTAGTTTTTAAGGCTATAAAACTGACCAAGGAGGAAAGAACAAAGAGCAGCTTTTTAATACTTCAACTCCCATGAATGACCAATACAGAATTTCTCCTTAAAATATCAATACAATTTCAAGCAGACAAGTGATGAGAATGAGAACATCAATTAGGGGATTATTAGTCTATTCAATACCAAATTCCCTGAATCATAGCCTAAAAGTGGTGGTTAGTAAGGAGAATTACATGTAAGATCTTGGTAATTAAAGGGTTATCTACTATTCTTCTTCCTTGACAAATCAATTAAAAATTTAAGCAGGAGGGCACCCCTTATTGAATGTCTGGAATAGGTTATGTGCTGTTTTTAATTGTTCAGTTATATTTGTAGATTTGATCCTTTTGCTGGCCCACTTAGTGAGATGGATAAGTGGAAACGCAGACAGAAAGTTCTCACAAGTGTCACCGACCAGCTAAAGAGCAAAGAATGCAAAGGAGTGATTGCTATTCTAATTACAGCTAAATCCAAAGTACTAAAACGATGGAAGGCTATTGATGCCAGGTAATGTATATGACTGATGGTACCTCTAATATAAAGAAAAATTTGAAACAGATAAATGAACTCATCAATAAATCTTTTGGGGCTTGAACAAAAGTCTCTACTAATCATGTGTGACCGTTGATCATGTGATATGATGTCAGGGCAAAGGAAGTCCTGAAAAGGATTGTTATCTTGGACATCAACTGACTTTTTGATAACTTACGCAGAAGACATTATCATAGTGTCTTGGTGACTTTTGCTCAGGTTGTTGAAACCTCAGTCACAGTCGCTTAACCCTTTAACTTCAAGAGGTGATTAACATGTAACTTCTCCTTATCATATCCATGAATCATACAAGAAAAAGGTAATGAGAATTCTCAAACTTATTAGGTCGAAGTTGTTGTCTTGATCCAACACCAAATTCTCTGAACTAATTCACAAAGAGATGTGTAGCAGCTAAAGGAGAGAATTAACAATCAGGTCTTGGAAGTTAAAGGGTTAAAGGACTAACCTCTTCTTTTGACTACCCCACAAGATCACCTTTTCAAATTGTTCACAATATCTGTTTCAGTTTTTTTTTTTTACATTTTATCAGGTTCTCCTTCAATTAAATGGCCTCTTTTAAGTGTGGATGTCTTTGAAATTTTAAGGAGTATTAAATGGCCCCTATTAATTGATTTTGTTTATTCAGCATTACTGATGCCTTCAATGAGACTAAAGATAAAGTGAAGTACTTGGAGTCGCTGCGTAAGTACTTTGATCAACTAAATGTGGGTAACTCACTGGTCAACATCTGTGGCCATACTCTTCCTGGACTGATGGCAAGTGTGAGACAAATGGATGCAATTTCACGATACTATGCCAGAAATGGATATCTTGGGCTGCTGTTTTCTAAGGTAACTTCTGCACTGTGCATAGTCCAAAGTTTTCCAGTACAATTTGATTTGCATATGTGGTTACTGCTATTGTTATCATTGATTTTACTGAGAATAAAATTTTACAGAGCAATAAATGATCTTCAGTGACTATTATGTCAATGAACTGCTAATAATTGTACATGTATGACTACAAGTTTGTTGTGGATTGTTGAATCGTCAGATCACCAATCAGCTTGTGCTAGCTGCAAGAGATTACATAGAATCCAGTACTACAATCTTGGAAGAAGACAAACTTTGGACAAAGGTTCAAGAAGAAATAGACTTCTCCTCAAGCCATTCAGCTCACCTAACAAAATCGAAGGGTAAAAGAAAGGCAAACAAAGAGATCTTGTTTGGCAGTGATGATGGGTTTCTTTCACGGCTTAATGTTTGTCTCTCCATGCATAAACAGTACCGTGATATGATCAGGAGTTTAAGGGAGGGCCTTGGTGGGTCTCACTCTCTTTCTATGACACCCAGTGTCCTGCAGCCTGGTGGTGCAAAACGGTCTGTGATCACTAACAGTAATTCAAACTTGATGTCACCAATTGCTGCTGGTAGCCCCATCAGGCTCTCATTTTCTCAAAGTAGGTTGAGACAGAATGTCTTTGTTTGTTCAAGCCATAAATCTTTAATATCAGGAACCACATGTTGCGATACTATTTTCCCTCTTCAAATTGCATTAATTTTTCTGCCATGTACTTTTATTTATTTTTGTACAAGAAAGCATTTGTATGTCTCTATAACCCTTAGAATTTTGGATATGATATCTGTTTTTGGACCAAGATTGAAACATACTTTGCAAGGTACATTCTGTACATCTGGATTGTGTAAATTGCACTATAGTATAAATTAGATAAAGTATCCTGCAAAATGTGTCAATGGAATACCAATCTTTAGGACAATCATGCATTGTTTGTTAATTTATAACATACTGTAACTCCAAAATTTAATTTTTTTTATATACTGGTACTGGTACATACAGCTGACCATGATAAAAAACTAAGAGCCTTTACTTACTCAAAAGTTAGTATATGTAGTGCCATTGAATGGGCCTTAACCCTTTAACTCCCATGAATGACCAAGACAGAATTTCTCCTTACAATATCAAAACAATATCAACCAGATAGGTGATGAGAATAAAGAAAAATATCAATTTGTGGATAATTAGTTGATTTAATATTAAATTCTCTGAACTAACTTTATAAGAATTGTCTGGTTGACAGTAAGGAGAATTACAAATTTGATATGGGAGTTAAAGGTTAATACTTGTTTTGAATATAATACTGTACTTGTTATGAATGTAATAACCCTGTTTGTGTTTATGCTCCAGGCACAAAAATGAAGGGAGACCATGAGAGCATAACCAGTCATGGAAGCAGTGGCATTGCCTTTACTGATGAAGAATCAATCATAGCACACTTGGATAATTTTTGTAACCATATCCGCAGCATGATTGATGTCATTCACACTTTGTCGCAGTTCTCTAAACTTGCCAATGAAGTGCAGAACTTGCCTCGTGTCACCGGGTATGTTATAACAAACAGTCATGATGTGGAAGATGATCAGGTCGCTAGTGAGATGTACTTCAAGACAGATGCTGGTGGACTCAGGCCTGCTGGAGCAGCTGCTTCCATAGGAAGTGGCTCTGACCACAGCTATCCAGGTATAATGTCTATGAAAAGTAAAATTGATACCATTATTGTACATTTACATTTCCCACGAGCTAAGACTGGTCTCAAAAGTGTACATTCAAGATCAAAAGGTGATTGGATTCAGGTATGGCTACTCTAGGGGACAAGATGAATTTATTTCCCCCACTGATCAAGCTTGTCTAGTCAAAATGGATAAATTTCAATTATGTTCTGTATTTTTACATTTATTTGAACTGTGACAGTTACTAGTTACAAGAGTTACTAGAACCAACACCCCTAAAAAAGGTACATGTGTGTACCATGCTTAAATAGAGCCATTTTAACCTTATGTTTAAACATTATTACACCCTAAAACAAAGGAAATAGATTTTTAATCGAAGGAGGAAATTGAACTACAATATAGTTATAGTTGTATCTAAAGGCATCACTCAGAATTACTGTGCAGCCTGTACATTTGTTATTTGAGGTTTCAAGGTAGCTAAAAATGTACAATAATTTATTGTGTTAAATAAATGGGTAAGATTCCAAAGAAACTGTGGTGCAGCATTGTCGGGGGGATTACAATTTGAAGATAATTTGATTCTATCACCTTAGTTGATAATGTGCATTGGCCACCAGGAAGAGTTTCTAGCGCTGACATTTCCAGTGTAAGCCCTTTGTCATTCACTCTGATGAAGGGCTAACGCTTGAAAAGTCATCTTTAGAAACTCTTTACAGTGGCCAATTAACATTATCAAGTCAATTGATAAAATCAGATTATCTAAATTTTCTAGTGTTAGTTTGCCTATTGCTGAACTACCTTGTAGTAGCAACATGTATAAGCTTTACACCAAGCTATTGTATGGCCTTGATGTTTTTATTTAAGGTTCCCATGGTAGCAACAAACCAGATGTGCTAAAGAGCATGCTAGAGAGCTTAGATGAAGAGGAAGAGGAAGTGAAAGAAGTATACAATTCAGGCATTGAGTTACAGAGCATTTCCCAAATTCTGCTGGATACGATCCATTCTATAAGATCCCCAATGGAGGGTGTTGTTACAACAGAGACCTTCCTTGATGTGGAAGGCAAAGGCAAAGAAAGATTTGAAGAACAGTATACATCTTTTGTTGCTGGTGTACAACAAATGGAGAGCTACATTTGTAATTATCTCAAGGTACTTTGTATGTTAAAAGCATGTACCTTTTTATTAATATCAAAATTAAAGAAACTTGATTTGATGCAATATCAATTAAAAGATAAAACAAATTTAATGAAAAGAAGAGTTTGACAACCCAACTAGGAGAGAGCAGAACTGTTTCTATTTCATTGGCAAGAAGTTAAACACAAGGTCTTTGAAACACCCATAGACTTCTACCTGTATTATTTGTGTATTTGGTTGTAAACTTACTGAATTGTACATGTAAGTTGTAGGGCAGGGCTGGTTTAGATTCATTGGACTATTTTAACAGGGTATCAAGCAATTGGAAAACAACACAAGTTAATAGTTTTGTGTTTGCATCACATACCCAATGGTACTTGTGCAGTAACTTACCTTAATTTACTGCGATAATCTACATTTACATTTTTATATCACAGAAGCATTGATCAGATGATGGCATTTGATTGTGTCCATGTTTTAGGGTGTCTTTGAATTGAAGTTGAACATCAAGAGGGCTCTTGAAATTCTGACAAGGTACAATTTTTATGCAGTTTTGCTGTGGGTGTCAGTTGTGTTTTCTTTTGATTAATATGGATTTAAAATCAGTGAACAATTATTTCCAAAAAGAATACTTTGTGATAGTGGCTTGAAATGGAAAATGTTACAACAAGTTTAAACCTAATACATGTAATGAAGCACTTGTTACCTTCAAACTCAAAGCATTTTAATCCAAGTTGGAAAAAAGTTGCCTTCACAATAGGCCCTAACTGTCTGTTTGTTCTCTGTGTTTATAGTTTTAACTGTGTGATGAACAGACCTGGTCTCAGAGCTGTGTTGTCAGAAAAATTCCTTGAAGTGTTTGGCTGGTTTGAAACAGAATTGGAAAATGTACAGAAAATCTATGAGAGCCAAAAGGTGAAGTAACACATGTGTTTGATTGGAATTTCAGTTGAAAGAAATAATTTTCTGTTAATTCAGTAGATGTCAGACATATGTGCTGTATGATTACTTACCTTTACAGTATTTACAATGAATATCCATGAATATTGTAGTTGGGTTAAGTCATCCATTTAGTTAAAGTTTTAAACATTTAACCTATTTTGCATGTCATGATTTGGAACACTTAGATGGAAAATACCCACAAGATCACCATTTTTGAGAAAGAGGCAAAATCATATGTTTACGTAAAATTTATGTAGTTCCAGCTCCAATCTAATTTTGTTTTGATTTTATACTGACAATAGAGATTTACAATATACATGTAGATCCCTGGACTTTATGAGATGAATTTTTTTTGTGGTTCCTGTCATTCATTGCTAGAATTGTTCATGTTAGCTTTTGGTGGATATATGTTTTTTCAATAAAATGAGTATGTGTTTCATTCTGTGTAATTTCCAGACATGAAAATGTAAATTTAATTTTTTTAAAAATTTTTCATACCTGTTTGATCATTATTTTTCTTCTTTTCATATTGTGCCAATGGATACATAACAAACAAAAGTAAAAATCAAACTGATTTGAAAACTAAGACAAAAAATGAAGCACAACATTTATTTATAATGTGCTTTTAAATACTGAAAACAGGAGAGCCCTCCTCTTGTTCGCAACTCTCCACTTGTTGCTGGAGCAATAACCTGGTCAAGAGGCTTGCTAAAGAAGATTGAAGATCCTATGAAGATCTTTAAAGAAAACAAATTTGTGACATCTTATAGGGTGAGATACTAAATTGAAAATGATAAGCAATTAAATAAAGCTGAAAACTTAAATACTTGATGAGCTGCTGTAATGATAAGCTTTGCGACCTGGCTCATTTGTGTTGGGGTGTTTGGCAACATGTACTGTTCAGTGTAGTACTTAACTTTCAGGGAACCACTTTCCACCCTCGGTATTGATTGTCGTCTTTGATCATAGCACCAGCAAGTGCACAGGGCTACGAACAGGTTCTGTAAAACTTGCACAGAGAAACTTGCAAAAACCTGGGTCACTATTTTTAATTTGTTATTGTTATGCATTTCTGTCAATAATTATTAATCCAATAATTCAATAATATGGAAAAGTTAAAAAAAGAGATTTTATGAATGTTACTTTACTCTCATTGTGGGTAGACAAATTAAAAAATTGAAGGAAGTTCTCTCTCATGTTAACAGGACTTTGGTCGTATCGTCAAGTTTTACAATCGCATTGCTACAGCTTTAGTAAAGTTTGAGAACTTATGGCTGAGCCTGTGGAAGTCCCGTATTGACAGCGCGTGCAGTGGACTAAAAGTTTCCCTCCTTGCATTTCACCCTGAAACAAAACAGCTAGTGGTGAATGCTGACGGAAGGTAGGACATGGCCAATAGGAGAAATGGTTCTTGAAAGAATATACATTGTTGTCAGTTACTGTATTATCGTTTTGATGTACTATTATTTATTATTATTGTTTTTATTATTATTGTTATTATTATTATTATTATTATTATTATTGTTTGTAAGCAAGCAGAGGCAAGTGCTTTTGTAGCATGATGAAAGGAATTTCTCCTCTTACATGGAAGTCAACCTTTACAGTTGCCTCGCACTTTCCTTAACTTGTCTGAAAAACACAAAAAAAATGAACCGAGAGAGTACTGTTAGAGTCTAAGAATGGATAAAAAAGATTAGCAGAGTAGGAATTTATACTGTGGATTTTGAACCGCTTAATTAACGTTATCTATATTCTCTTTGTTTCTATTCTCTACAATTACCCTACATGTAGGCTTCTTGAACTAATTCAGGAGAGCAAATCATTGATGAGGATGGGGATTCAACTTCCTGAAAGTGCGTTAGACGTCCTTAAACAGGTAGGTGCAGGCTGTCTTACAGAGATGTATGTGTCGTCCTTGATTTGGTCTTATGATATCAGTCCAGCTCTAATGGCGTCTTCATTTTTGTTCTGCTTGCTATACCGTAAATCCTCGAATTAGAGCTTACTCTCAAATGTGTAACGTCACCAAATTAGAGCCACTCTTACTTAACAAAGTGATGATTTTCTGGTCAGATGATCTCCCTTGAACAATCAACACCCCGAAAATCACTTTCGTCACGTGATTGAAATGCGTTAGATTAATTTATTTTTGTCATACTCAAAATAAAAAAAAGGTGTATATCATCTGAAGTAAGACATTTAGACTTATTTCTTCATATAGGAGCATCGACTCAAGTCATACAAGCAATCACTAGAGCTGGTTCTACAGGATTACTACAAGGTTTGTCAGAATGTACCCTCGGCCCTGTACAAGTTGCTTACACCACACATGGAATCTGTCTTGCACTACCTACAGCCGGGTGTGTCCACCCTTAACTGGAGCAGCATGAATATCGATGCTTACCTACATCAGGTGCATTCTGCCAATTCTAGGCTAAAAGAAGTTGTGGACAGTGTTAAAGAAGTAGTGTCTGAAGGAATAGAGAGAAAGATTGAGGAAATCCGAAGGGTGATTCTCTTTGATAAAAAGTTGGCTACTGCTCATGTTTGGAATGTGGAAAAGTTTGTGGAAGAAGAAAACAAAGCAGTGACTCAGCAGGGGAAGAGATTACATGAAATGGTTAAGGAAGTAGAGAATGCGCTGCAGGTAAAGGGAAGAGCCTACTGTTTGTAATATTTCTCTGATTACTGGTCTCTTTAGCATCTTTTGGCATCCCTTTAAGCATTTTTTTTAAAGTTTGTCAGTTGTAGTGTCCATTCATTTACTACTAGAGAAATCCTTGCTCAGATACTGCTACAGCCTAAATATGATCGTAATGCTGTACTATTCAATGAGCGAGGGGTATAGCTTGCTAAGATTTTTCATAGGATATTTTACAATTTCTCGCGTAATCGTTTTTTAAAGACCAGGTTTTCTTCAACTTCCACTTTTCGCTTTACAGGAAGTTGTTGCCACTGCAAATCAAAGGCGAATCTCTTCTCCTGCCAGTCCTCAAATCAGTCCTAGCCCAAGCATGAGTCTTGGTTTGGACAGAACTGGTGCAATGACACCTCGCTTCACCAGGATTGGTACCATCATGTCATCAGCGCCAGGAACGCGAGCTGCAACTGCTGTCAGTGGCTTAACTGACGAGTCAGTCATCGGTGATATCTTTGGTCATTATTGCAGTTTGGTTTACCAAGCCGTGCTGGAGAGTATAGTCTCTTCCTTGCTGATCATTGGTGACTGCGTAAAACCTCCTGGGCGCAAAAAGAGTGGAATTGAAGTGGAGAGCAGAAAAATATCAGGGTTTGTAATTCTTTGCTAACGAATTGTAAAATTAGTTTCTAACGGTAAATAAAGGAAAAGAAAGTGTAATGTACTTGTACGTCAGGAAACTGACCTCAAATAATAGTGTCACCCTAATATCATGTTTTTATGTGTTATTTGAGCAGATCTTCTTGGGATGACTCATCAGACAACGGGTCTGAAAACAGTGATTATGCTGAGTCTGTGAGTTCTCAGTATTCTGAGTGGAGCACGACTAACCAAGAAGAGCTGCTTCAGTTTGAGGTCAATGTGCAATTCAACATTCCAGACATCGTCATAAAGCCGTCTCTTCAGACTATCCAAGATGGCGTCCAACGTGTTGCCGTACATTTGGTTGATGTCTCTAGGACGATCATGTGGTGGGCAGCAGATGTCAATGAGTCTTTCCATCGATCAGTTGCACAAGATCATCAAGTGAATAAAACATTAGAAGAGCTCTCTACTTCAGTCACAAGTAATTCATCTCTCTTTCATTGTACATGTATACTGTATTAACCACCCTTGCTCAATACGCCCCAGCTCTTTTAAGCCCCCCTTGTCTTAGTGCGCTCTATTAAGCCCCTATCTAATAAGCCGCTCCCTCCATTATGACCTCTGGCCTTAAACGTCCCTTCTCTATTATTCCCCCATCTGATAAGCCTCTCCCTCCATTAAGCCCCCTTGCCTTAAACGCCCTTGTCCTCTTATGCCCCTATCTTATAAGCCCATTTCGCCATTAAGCCTCCTTGCCTTATACGCCCTTGTCCTCTTATGCCCCTATCTTGTAAGCCCATTTCGCCATTAAGCCCCCTTGCCTTATACGCCCTTGTCCTCTTATGCCCCTATCTTCTATGCTCATTTTGCCGTTAAGCCCCTTTGCCTTATACGCCCTTGTCCTCTTATGCCCCTATCTTATAGGCCCATTTCGCCATTAAGCCCCCTTGCCTTAGATGCCCCTGTACTATGAAACTCCCTTTGTACGCCCTTGCTCTCTTAAGCCCCCATCGCTATTAAGACCCTTCTCTTCCCTATAACGTCGTAAACAAATTTAAAAATCGTTACACTCTTATTGCATTATAACCAGGCCTCCAACAAACAGTGGAAAGGCAGCTGTTTAATTTCCGTCGTTACGACTTCCTTTGGAAGGATGACATGCATGCACTGTACCAGGTGTTTGTCGACAATGATCCCGGAACTACCATGTTTAAGCTGGAGGTAGAGAGACTTCAGGCGATAGAGCATGATGTGGTGGAGATTCCTGACAGACTTATGGTGGGCTCAGTATGTTTGAACACCTCGCCTATCAAGGACTCCTTGCATGGATTTGCAGTGGCGTGGAAAATGAGATATTCTACTCAGCTGCACGAAGAAGCTAAGGTGGGTTAGATTCAAATTTGTGTTCACTCTCGACGCTTTCTACTTTCACGATCCTAGCGAAGAACGCACGAAGAACTCCTGTCACCTATAAACTTTGGATCATGTGCATTTTGCTTACTGTCATTTTGCTTTCAGATTGAATTGGACAAGATAGTTACGCACCGTAACAGCATCTATGAGCGACTTTCACAGCCTGTTGTCACTTTAGATGAACTCAACAGTGCCTTTCAACTTCTCCAAGAACTGGGAGACATGGAGAACACTATTGATGACATTTACCTACCTGTGGAGAACATGTATGGAAAGCTGAGGTACTTGAAATAGGAGCAAAGATTTGGTGTTTACATTAATAACATTTTATCCAAAATGGTCTTAAACCTGAAGCTATCCATCGACTTTTCAAACCTCTGTCAACCTAAAAACTTGACAGGCCTTCAAGGTTAATAGCCCTTGGAATCTTTTGTGGATCTGTGAACATTACCTCGTTGGTAAAGTTGTGAACAAAGTCATAATCAGTTAATTTAACCTCAGCTTAAGATCCCCGTAAGAGTAGTTCACATGTTTAAGCGATGAATTTTTGTTTGTGCGTATATTTTGCGTGACAAAGTGAACTGTACGTTTCTTCAAACTCTTCCTGTCACTTCATCAGAGAGTACAACCTGTGTCTTCCACGAATAGAAGTACAAGAAGTGGACAATCTACGGGATGAATGGGTCAAACTGATAGCGCTTGCCGAAAAGGTAGGGCGATATATATGCGTTATTGACCAAGCATCAGGTCAATATGGCTGGGTATCGGCCAAATTCTTTTCCTTTTCGCGAATAAACAACAACAACAACAACAACGAGGTTAATATCTAGTTATATTGACCGAACAAGCTTACTCAGTGAAGGATTTATTTAATAACAAAAAAATTTCGCTTTATCAAGAATCAAGAATGACTTGCTTATTTCGAGAGATGGAAAAGAAAGCCAACTGTTTATGAAGTACAACAAACCCACGAGAGTCGTTTATGTTTTCTTTATTTTGACTGTCTTCTACCGCTTTTTGCGACTCCATCGCCGACACCGCCCAGAAATTACGTAAAGGTTGATGAACACGGTGCAACTTTGTCTCATGCGACTCGTTCATTTGATTTACAATCTTCATTATGTAACGCAGCCTGCGGCCACAACATGTTGTTGAGTTTAAAACAGATTTCAAAGTGTTACGAACTTTTTCTTGTGCACATAACTAAATTAAGTCTGTCGTCTAATGTTTCGAAGTATGCTCGACAATTTTTACCTCATTCTTGGCAAGGAACTATTAGATAAGTCTTAAAAAAATTCTTTGCACACCAAAGAATCTTAAGCCTTATGTATAACTTTCTTTTATCTTAGACACTATCTAAACATCTATTTAAGATGTCTGTCATGTCTTCTTTTCGTTTTGTTTTATGAAATATATATAGGTCAGAGACGAGTTATTAGTTCAAAAGCGTGGGATGTTTGAACAGGAACTAGACAAAGAAGTCAAGGTAAGAGCTGAAGTAATCTTTCCAGTGCAAAAATAAAAATATTTAAATTTCTTTGATGATGAGTCACTTTCAATTAAATTTAAGGAAATATTAGCAAACAAACAAAAAACCAAAAAAACTTGTTATTCGACTCGGGAGGATCTGATTCTCCTACGATGATTTCGTTCAATTTTGCGACCTGATAATCTTCGATAACAGAACTTGTTGATAAGTTAGGCCACCTACCAGGCCCGTAAGCGACAAGCGTCTTGCATTCCGGTAGGATATGGCATACTTGAAATATAAATGAATTTCGTATGACATTCTTTCTTCTAGGCGTTTGTTGTGAATGTGATTCAGTTCCGTAACAGCTTTGACTCTCAAGGTCCAGGAGTGCCGGGTGTGAGACCAGCTGAAGCTGTGATGAGATTACAAGACTTTCAACAACACTATACTCAGTTTGAAGCCAAGCGAAAGACACTAGATTCTGTTCAAATGCTGTTCGGAATTGTTCCTACACCTTTTGCAGAACTGGACAAAACCGGAGAGGTTGGTTATGTTGGTGACACGCTAAGATATGTTGGCCGATAGATGTGAGATAATTTCTGACGCGCATTTTCAAATATAATTAATTTGTTGTAAACGGACGGTTGTTTCTCTTCACTCTAGTAATACACCTCTTTGATAATGGCCCTGAACGAGACAAGTTATTCATTAATTTTGATAGCGCAGTACATAAACAAGTTAAACAGCTTTCGGCAGTTCTCTATGGTGTACACAGCTTCACATATAAAGTGTTATTTCACCTTTTCTTTTCTATAGGAACTCGAACTTCTTGGTTTGCTGTACGGTCTGTTTCAACAATTCATCTCGTTTGATCAAAGGTTAGTAGCCATGTCACGATCAGCTTGGTAACACGAATTTGCCGGCAGTGTGTAAAACTGCACTGGTCTATGTCTCACATAGGAAGAGTAAAGAAAAGAAGTAAACTACCAGTAAAGCAAGCTGGTACTGTCTAGAATTTTATTTTCAAACTTTACGCAAAGTTTAAGGTTCCAACAAACTGTGTCTTCTTCAGGTTTAGGGATACCTTGTGGTCAGAGGTGGATCTGGTTGTCGCAAATCAGGAGGTACAGTAATGTTTAAAACTACTTTACGATAGTCTTGTTATCTCAAATCACTTCCCACATAACCCAGCTGGAGAATTTAAGATTTAGGAATTTAAAATATCCGAGGTAAAGCTGTTACAGTTAAAATTAAAGGACAAATGCTACTAGGTTTTTAGATCTTATTTTCTCCTGACAAGCTTCGTTTTACTTTTTACCATTTCTGATAGCAACTTCAGAAAACTACAAACTTGTGGTTGATTTGGTTTGTCATCGTTCCTTCTCAGCTAAGTCCATAAAAGACTGGCCACAATCATTGCGTTTTCTTTCAAAAACGGAGCTGGCCTGGGCAGTGTTACACTTGCGCTTTTAAGGGAATATTCTGAACACATGTTCCCTCTGTTCGACCCAGAATCTAAAGATCACTGTCAGTTCAAGTCTACGCCTATTGATCCATGTTAAACAAGAGACTTTTGTTCGAAGGAACAGAATTCCAAGCACAAATTTTATTTTAGATATCAGGTTAAGCTAAGTCTTACAAAACCATTGGCTTACTAATGTCATACCTTATCCCGGTTTCCATGGCATGAAGCGACCAGGAGTATTGCTTTTCCGCCTGGATGGAATGAAAGTCCATCCCCAGCAGTTTACCCAGTTTCCGTGACATTCCGCCGGGAGCAATTTTTACTCTCTGTTGGGTGGAGAGAGCACTCTTAAAATAAAGTGTCTTGACCAAGAAAATGACCCTGGCCGGAGCTGGTATCCAGTCCTTTCGATTCAAGATTCCGAGCCCAGCGCTAGTATTAAGCGATCGCATCTCTCACATATACTGAGAATGTTTCCTTTTTTGTTTTGTTTGGTTGCAGATGGAGCATTATTGGCAAGAGTGCCTTCGTTTGCCTCAGAGAATACAAGAGTGGGATGCCTACAAAGAAATGAGAGATGCCATAAAACATTACTTGGATGTCTTCCCTACGTTGCACAAGCTTAATTCAAAAGTATGTACTGGTAGCGTTTTTTCCCACGGTTTTTGCCTCCTGGTGTTTCAGAGAATTGAAAGTATTAATTCTTGTTCTTCTGTATACGGATCAGAAGGAAGTGTTTTTTTAGAAACAAGTATCTATTTTCTTAAGTTTCAATTAAGACTCGGTCCTCTGCTTGAAAAAAAGAAAGTCTGAGTATGTCCTTATTAATAGTAGTGATGAATTAAAAGTCGAAGTGTTAAATTTGTTTTTTTTGCGGTACAGTTCTTTTTATTCTCGGTTGGTACAATTAACGTCTTTACTTCTGCTAGGTACATTCCAGCCTCATTTGTTACATAAATTTGCTATCCTGAGAAATCTTTTTTTCGTTGTTTCCTTCAACGTTGTGGCGATGGTGATCGCCGCAGAATAATTTTATTATTAGAGTGTCTTCCTATAGTTCTCATGCGAACTCTCCTTTTTTCTCCTTTTTTAGGAGATTCGTAATCGCCATTGGCTACAGGTGATGAGTGTTACAGGTTCGTCTTTCCAGCTTGAAGCGCACATCTTCAAACTTGTTCACTTGTTGGATATTGGATTACTTCAGTAAGTGCAAGTTGTTTGGGTTGCGAATGGTGCCTCTCCATATAGGTTTCAGGCATTAATGTCGTCGGTGAAAAGAGAAAATTAAATAGTAAATCATGAGATCGGTCGTCCATTACAGTTAGACGGTTAATTTCAGTCAAGAGTCGAATGTTCAAGCTAGTTTGAATTTGTGCGACCAACAGCATTGACAAAATTAGGTCGCGTCGTCGATAAAAGTTTTTCATGTCGCACGAGGCGGATTCTTGAGGCGACTTGTCCTTGCGCAAATTCGAACCACTCTGAATAGCAGTGAGCAAAAAATAAGTCGCAGCGACAAAATTTTTCTCAAATATTTTTCATGTCACATGTGGCTAATCAACGTTGCGAATGGTTCCCCCGTCGTGTTGCAGCAATTTGTGGCCAAGCGTGTCTCGGCGTAATCCAAGTGTCCACTTATATTTGTTTAGACACCAGGCGGCAATAGAGGAAATATGCCGATGTGCTAGTAGAGAGCTGGAGTTGGAAGCCAAAATGAGAAGTACTGAGGAAGAGTGGACGGAACAGGTAAATGTTTAAAGAGCTTCATCTTCTCGAAAACGGTGGCCTTTATTCCTTAAGTTTGTAATTTGAAATACCTTAAATAAAATGTGGTAACACAGCTCTTTAAGTGATGTTTATGGCATTGTTACTAACGGACTCACTATTTGCAGGTCCTTACCTTTGAAAATTTCAAAAACAGAGGCTTGGTGTGTCTGAGCCATAGTAACACTGAACATCTGTTAGACCTGTTGGAGGATGCGCAAGCCACTCTTGCTCTAATGCTGACATCACGCCACATCGGACCACTTCGTGACGAGGCTGCAGCATGGGCCATCAAGTTAAAAGAAATCAGTGAGGTCCTAGAGCAGGTACGTGAACGTAACTTTCTGCGCTTTTGATTGGAACTTTAAATAGGACGCAGCAGTTAGTGGTGATCTATTGCTTTTTTTCTGCGCTGCAGTCTCTCGTCAGATTAAGGAAACGGCAAATTATAATTATATATGTTTGAGAATAGTTAACGATGGGGAACAGTGACACAGTTTTCAAAGTACGGACTTGATATGCAAACTGTATCAAAGCCCCTGTACGTCCAAAAATAATAGGACCAAAGCAAGTTAGCAAGATGTGGAAAATCGATGGGCGTTTAACAAAACATAAAAGCCCCTGTACGTCCAAAAATAATAGGACCAAAGAGGAGATGTACGATGGGCGAAATTGGAAAAAAATTAGAGTGGACCATATCCGAAGAAACTTGCTGTTGCTTGTCCGTGACTTTGTGAATAAATGGCTTTTGCACTCCCAACGTGAAATTGCTTACATAATTTTTTTTTGTAGTGGTTGACTGTACAAGATTTGTGGCAACATCTCGAGGAGGTCTTCAGTCATGGTGGAACAGCTAAGGTATGTGCCAGTTGACGCTAGTGCTCGTCAAGCACGAGTTTATCACGTGTAACATACCTTTCCACTTTTCATGCAGGACCTTCCACAAGAGTATAATCGGTTTGCAAGAGTAGACAAGAGCTACATGAAGATGATGAAAAGAGCGTATGAAACAAGAAATGTTTTACAGGTATTGAAGCAAGCGAGTCAATTTACATTTTTTCCTTAAGAGTCAGCAATAGTGCGCCTTTCTAAAGAGCAACGGTATTCCACTCGGCAGCGTTTCAATAAAGGGAAAAACGATGGACATTGAAGAAAAAAAAATGCTTTTCATTCGCCAATCTCACGAGGATGGACGTTTTGACCTTGGAATTTCGTGGTCCGATATTATCGCTAAGGTCCAACAATTTGTTGGTGAGCAAGGCCATGTCATAGGTTCATCTGTGACAAGGCATCTTTCATACTGTTCGGTTCAACAATGTAGAAAGCGTCACGTTTGTTGAGAGATTAACCAAGATTATAAATGATGCATGGAGACTATGGATACACTCAGCTGTAGAGGTCTGGCAAAGTAGAATTTAGGTAAACGTTGGACCCCAATTACACGGTACATGTTTTGCGGCTCATATATTGCAGACAACCCCAATTTTATCTTATCTATGGAAATCTTTATTTAGCTTTTAGCCCGAAGGGTTATGTTAACATTTCATGTGTTGGTATTTAGTGCTGTGTTGGTGGCGATGTCCCGAAGAGTCAGGTGTTAAAACATCTTGGCGAGGAGTTGGAGATCTGTTTTAAGTCGCTTGTTGGATTCCTGGACTCTAAAAGAAAGGTAAACCGAAACCTGAAATGCTACATTGTCGTGCTCGTTGTACGTGTTGTAAAGGACTGATCTTCGTTTGTTCCTTACAGGTTTTCCCTCGCTTCTGTTTTGTAAATGACCCAGTTTTGTTAGCAATTCTAAGTCAACCCTACAGTTTGGATTCTGTGAAACCATACTTCAGGTAGGACCGAACTTAAATAATAGCCGGTAATTGTTCCAATTTCTCGTAAATATTTGGGTCCTTTCTTAGAGAAATTTTTATCCGTGCCAAACTTCTCCATTCTTAACCATTTCTGCTCTCTTTTGGTTTACTCTTGCCTGTTCTTAGGGGCCGGGGGGGGGGGGAGATGCGGGGGTGGATTCCCCCTCCCCTTCCATCAAGCCTTTGGTTCTTCCACTACTTGTCTCCAACCAAAATTCTCCCAAAGACAGAATCGCGAATTACTACTCGATATGAAGTATTTGAAATTTACCTACATGAAACATTTTATATCTTATTTAGGCTCTAGTGTTAAAAAAATGTGTTTTCTGGATCAAAGCTTGGACCCTCCCCCAACAAAAATTTCTTGCATGTGCCCCTGCTTGTGGTATTTATCTACCCCGGAAGACGTTTATTCAAACTTTCACTTTGATTGAAAATAACTTTCGAGGACTAAGCAGCTCACGTAAGGATTGCACCCCTTGTTGCTTTGTGTTTGAGCAAACATCTCACGAATTTCTTTTCTTCAATTTTTTTTCCAGATGCATCTTCAACAGTGTACGTGACGTGATGTTAACTCAACAAGAACCAGAAACAGTGGCTCAGAAGAAGAGCTCTATCCTAAGTTCATTGCGGAGTAGGAGTGGCAGGGAGGATCTAATCTCGCCACTTCCTTATGCTGATACATTTGGGAGTCGTTTCAGGAAGATTTCTGACATTGTTGTCCAAGCTTCGAAAGAATCAGATACGGGAGTACGGAAGCCAAGCATTTTGACCTCGACCCTAGATGCGCGAAACGCTGAACCCGATTGGCATAGTCATCTTCCCAATAATTTCGCTGTAGCTGTAACCTCAGAGCAGGGAGAAACTCTGGAACTTATCACAAAGGTGACATCTGTAACTAGATTAAAAATAACTGGAAATCGAAAAGGGCATGATAGATTGATAGCTAGTATTCTAGCTCGCTGACCAAAAGGATGTGTTTCTCTTTACCACCTTTGCAAAGAACGCTAGATGTTAAGTTGAAAATCATTTCGAATGTTACTCGACCATTATCCCTTTTTTGTTGGCTCAGTATTCCCCCTATGTCAAGCCTGCTTATTACTTTCCAACATTCTTATCGCTAATCCTTATGTGACCCAAGTGTTCGCACGAATTTTAAGGGCGCGGCACCACGTGGTCTCCTCACTCTCAGCTCTCTTACTTGCGTCCATCTCTCACGTCAATTGTTTTTAGCAGTATATTAATCGAAGAAATTACAAGAAAATAAAGGGTGCTTGATAGTTTTTTCAAATAGAAAAACAGAGAATAGGTTGTGTCAATTGCTGTTTCTTTAGTGATACTTCTTTTAGTTCTCCCCTTGCAACCGTATTTATTGTATGTCTGATAATATTCAAGCGTTTGAACAGCATTTTTATGTTGTGTATCTTTTCTGATCGTTAATGATTCTAGGTTCCCCTTGTCTCCAGTGTTGACGTGTGGTTGGCTGCGTTGTTGAGGAGTATCACTGAATCTCTGCGATCCTCCATCGTAGATTGTATTCAGGATATTGACTCAGGACTTAGTCTAGAAGAGTGGATTTTCAAGGTTTGTCAAGGCATAAATTATCAATAACTCAGTGTTTTCCCTGATTGATTAAGGGTTATTTCTAAGAGTCTTTAGAGAATACATAAGAGAAATCGAACTTCTCATTGTATCAACGATGTTTAGCTGAAAAGCAAAAGAATTAGCCATATCAATTTTAGAATTGCACTTAAAAGCGCAGATGCCCGTAATTCACACGCACATCTTAATTTTCACTCCGTGAGACGAAAAGCTGTAACGCCTCATGTTATGCCCTTAGCTTGGCTAGCCGTGAACAGGTAACTACTTTTGTGTGGTGGTTGGTGGGCCTGTCGTATGGTCGTGAATAATAGTCTCTCACAGGTGGCGTTTCTCACATGACTTTCTGTTTCCAGTATCCTTCACAGACCTGTAGATTAGGACTGCTTTACATCTGGACAAGGGAATGTGAGGCTGTAAGTGTCTACGTGCTGTTGTACGTGCCTATACTATATAAACTGCATTCGTTTAGGATATGACATAGTCTAAAAGTATATCGCTTAAGTTATCGTGGGGTATTGAAGATGATTGGTCTGCGTTTATTGAGAATCCATCTTGATGACTGAATCAGTTAGCCTTGGTGTCAGGTTTATATGGGGATTTCAAGCCAAATCGAAGTTTGTCAGTTAGATAGCGTTGTTTAAAATAATTGGTCGTTTGTTACAAAATAAAGCATAAGTATTGGATTGGTTCGTATACGTTTATCTAACAACTTGAAAAGCAGCTGTAATTATTTCCATGTATGAATTTTACTTCATAGCACGTTTTCACTTCTTTCTCTGTTAGGGAATCGGAGATATTCGTATTGACCGTAAAGCAATGCCCAACGCTTCTCGTCGGTTTTGGTCACTTATCAGCAAGCTGCCAAACCTCCTGGCCAAAGGTTCTTGGAAACACACTGACTCTCCCATGACTTCCTATCATAAACTGCGACTGGAGACCTTGGTCTCGGTGAGTAAAATTAATGCACAATCAATACCGTAATCTCACCAGCATTACAACTGGTGGGATTACGGTACTGGAATACACAACGATCCAGTGTCTAGCCTGCTAGACTCGGGGTGAAGAGGTCACGGTTCGAGCCCAGGCCGGGGTTATAATTTACATGTTGTATGTTTTGTTTTCTCGAGGAAGACTCTTCACTCTTACATTGCCTCCACACTTGATCTTTAACCCTTTAACCCTTCCACTCCCAAGATCTCATTACTAATTCTTCCTACTTTCTGCCATAAAATACTCATGACGCCAATTCGGAGAATTTGGTATTGGATCAACTTGTAGTCCCCTAATTGAGTTTTCTTCTTTATTCTCCTCACTTGTCTTCCTGATACTGTATTAATATTGTAAGGAGAAATTCTCTCTCGGTCACTCACGGGAGTTAAAGGGTTGAATACGAAATGCTTTGGGTAAAAAATACACCAGCACCCACCCAAAACGCGAAGCAATAGTCGCAATTTGTTTCAGACTCTGCAACTAGTTAAAGCAGCTATTCTAGTCAGTCCCTCATGAGAACTTCACTTTCCACAGCAAGGAATGTACTTAAGAGATGTTCTCGAAGACCTCGGTAGGCGCAAGCTTAGAGATGTAGTGGACTTTGAATGGAAGAGAAATATCAGGTTCTATGGAACAGACAATAGCAGAGCACCTGGTTAGTGAATCTTTAGCCTATTATGTTGCTTAGAGAACTTCGCATAAAACGCTTCTGAAGCTCGTATTAATTTGTACAGTTTGAAGGAAGAAAAAATGTATGAAATGTAAAATATAAAAAGAAGATTGGCAACCATCTACCCACTTTCTGGAAGTTACACGTACAGCTGTAGAAGTGACATTTCTGTATCAAAAGGAATATACACTAACCATACACTTAAATAAGACAAATACTTCTAGAATATGATAAAAAAGAGCATGTAACTTGAAAGAAACCACATGATATGAACTCAAAATGATGGAAAGACACCAAAGACAGAATAATAAACGTATCAAAAACTAACGAACTCGAAAACATTTCGCCTGATTTTTCAAAATGTAGATACTGTAAAATTGTTACTTATAAAATATTCAGTTATTGACTATGCGTTACTATTTAGGGAGGTCACCTTCACTTACATTATTGCCTTCACTGGAAGGAGCCGTTAGTCGTGCTGCCAGTTCGGAACCTCCCAAGATTACAGCTGGTGTTCAGGAGCATGAGGATCTTTATATTCACATGTTGGACGCTCAGCTATCTTATGGCTTTGAATTCTACGGCTGCGATGTTTCCCTCGCCCTTACTCCCATAACAGAGAGGTGCTTTCTGAGTTTGACACAGGTAATGCGATTTGTTGATCAGCGGAACAGTTGTATAGTTAATGAACTGTTTGTGTTTTGGTTTGGGAGCAAAATGCAGATATCTGACTTTGTTGTAATCTGGGGCTTTCCCGAGGGACGAAATGTGCTTGTTGAAGTGGGGGCTTTTTGTGGGCCTCGTGTGCTTACCGATTTAAAAAATTCATAAAGAGGAAAGGATCTTCGGGAAAGTAGCTTCATTAAAGCGCTTTTTTGTTCTGATCATGTTTAGGCCGTATGGAATGTCTTTGGGGGCTCGCTTGTTGGACCAACAGGAACAGGAAAAACTGAGACAGTAAAGGTAATTTTTGCTTGCAGTTGTTGCTTTTGCTCCTTAATCTTGCTCTTACCCTTGCTTTTCTCCTGTCTTCGCCACATGAATCTACATCTTGTCTAATTGTCCTTTTGTTACTAGCATCAGGTGCTCCTGAGGAACATCTGAAGTACCATTTGGAAAGTCGTGGGTTAAAAAACGGACGTTCGGCAACTTTTTATTCCCCAAGTATTCATTATTGAATGGTATGTTTGTTTCCATAGGGTCTAGCATCTTTGCTTGGTCGTTATCTGGTCTCACAGAGTTGTTCCCCAAAGATGTCTTCAACAGCGATAGGAAAGATTATTGTAGGTCTGGCAGAGGTGAGAAATCTATGAGCTCTTGGTTTCTTTTTTTTTTCTTTTTTTGTCTTGAAGACCTAATTCTTGCTGTCTTTTTGTTGCAGGAAGGTTGCTGGGGTCTGATGGACGAGTTCCACAAAATAAACATGGAGTGTCTTTCAGTTATGCTGTTTGAGATCCAAGCTGTGCTACTCGCTTTGAGAGGTGGACTTTCTACCTGCACTTTGGAGGATGGAAAGGATGTATGTGATTTTAAAAATTGCTGCAATGTGGTAGATAATAGGGATAGCTATAATGCTGGATACAGTGGCCGAGTGGGCAGTGGGCTCTGGCCTTAGTCACTCGGTCACAGGGCCTCTCTCCGCCTTTTGCGTTAAAGAGTAACAAAAGTCTTTCAGGGAAAGTTGAAGAAATGCTATTAGGTAACACCAGGAACATATTAACACCAAACTATCAGGGAAGCTGAAAAATTGCTGTTAGGTAACACCAGAAGCCTATTAACGAAAAGCTTTCAAGGAAAGCTGAGGAATTGCTGTTGGGTAACACCAGAAGCATATTAACAACAAACTATCAGGGAAAGCTGAAAAATTGCTGTTAGGCAACACCAGAAGTATATTAACAAAAAGCTATCAGGGAAAGCTGAAGTACTGCTGTTAGGTAACACCAGAAGCACAAAAAGCTATCAGGGAAAGCTGAGAAATTACTGTTAGGTAACACCAGAAGCATATTAACAACAAACTATCTGGGAAAGCTGAAAAATTTCTGTTCGGTAACACCAGAAGCATATTAACAAAAAGCTATCAGGGACAGCTGAGGAATTACTGTTCGGTAACACCAGAAGCATATTAACAACAAACAATCAGGGAACTGTTAGGTAACACCAGAGGCATATGACCTAGTTCTAGGTTATATGCGTGTGGTAAGATGCAACCGACTGACCTTCCTAGATATTTCTAATCGCCACGTGTCACCAAAATCGGGAAATGTTCCGCCGGTAATGGTACCTATGTGTTGAAGGGTTCTTCTCCACTTGACATCAAAATGAAACAACAACAACCAATTGGCACAGGACCCCCTAGCCGAGTTTTGCTTTGATGTTAAAAAAAAAAAAAACAGTTTAGAATCTCAGAAAATACATTTCAGATCAAAGTTGAAGAGCAGCAGTTATGTATATTGAAAATACTGACAAAAATTAAGCGTTATTTCTACTCAAGAGCTACCATTAACGACTTTTTTTCTTTGTTTTGTCTTTAATGGCAGGTCACTGTTAAACCCAACTTTTCCATTTTCCTCACCATTTGTTCCAATGGACACAATTATGAATTCCCGCCTGAGGTCCGTGCTTTGTTTCGTTCTGTTGCCATGGTGATGCCAGACACATCTCTGATACTGAGGGCTCACTGCGCAGGGCAGGGTTTTAAGTCCCCCAAGATTTTAGCGGATCGTCTCAAGCTTGTCGCAGATGTCTGCAAGGAGCAACTGTAAGTCACCACATTATAACAGACCCTTCAATAAAGAAGCGACCCCGATTTAAGAATTTTTGGAAGGGAATAATTCTTGTAGCTGCAGAGCACTTACCTGAATATTTCAAGCTAGACTGTGAATGTGGTCGTTTGCAATCCCTTCAATCCTCTCCATTTTCAACCATCCTTGTTCGTTTTGTCTTATTCTCAAGTTCGTCGTTGGTAATCTGTTTTAATCTGGTCCATCCCAAGCCATCCCCGTTCCATTTTTCGTTGAATTCTTCTCTTTTCGGCTTTACTTTTCTCACCAAACTTATTTTTTATGGTTTCTTTTGTGTTGAAAGTAATTTTGACTATAAAAGCGCTGGACCCGAAACAACGTTGCGTAACAGTAAAGTATGTGCTAGTGCTTCCGTCAGCTTGCGCCCGTTGATCAACGACACATGTATACCCTTGACGAACGAGAGCGTGGAAATCGGAATAACTTTCCATAAAGATATTTCACATGTTTGGTTTTCTGTGTATCCTTCCTCGACAGAAGTGGAAAGAGTCACCACAACTTCAGCCTGTCGTCTTTTGTGGGCGTCATACAACATGCTGGCAACAGGAAAAGCTCCCAGGGACCTCTGGGAAGCAAACTTAATACCGTGCAAGCTGATTTGGCGAGACCCTCCAGTACGCAGTCAGTAGCCACACAGTTTGGTAAGTAAGGTCGAGAACAGTCGTAGAGAACGTAACTGACGGTAAAACGGCCTTGCGTTAAACGCACAGACGATTTGGCGCAAAATGCTGTTGCGTGAAGCGCGGATCATGTTGAAAAGTTGTCACTCTCCTTTGCGAAGTTTTTCGGCAGAAGTGAAGTCCTAGGGAATGTTTTCAAATGTTATATGTGATTTGTTGTGTCTGTTTGTCTTGTTTAGTGCGTTGTTTGTTTATTTTTTTCTGGTTTGCATCTTTTAATCAGCTTATTGTGCGAAAGACATATTTTGCTCAGTCAAGTGAGACGGCTTTGTGCAGGCACCCCTAAAAAAGGACTATGGGCCGTTGAACAAACTATTTTATCAAATAACGGCGACCTAGAAATAAAAAAAAGCTTGCATATTTCTGTAGGTGACTGCTTATCATTAAATCTGGATTTAGTCTCGCTGTTTTCATATGCGTGTTGGAACGCTTTTGAAGACAATATAACCACGGAAATGATGGAATAGATGTCTAAATTTTTCTCAGGAGCTGGAAAGGACAGAGGAAGCCAGTTTGGTCAGAAAGACAAAAAGCCTACTACTCCATCTGCTTTAACTTCTGCTGCCAGACTAGAGCATTCGTTCGTTTTACAATCACTGCAAGATTGTATTGGTCCAAGATTATCACCTGAGGTAACTATTTTCTTTTTACAAAGTGGTAGTAGTTGAAGAAAACTTCACGTTTGTGGCTTTAGCAATCCATCGTGTATTCCTAGAGGAAAATCTTATAACCAATTGCAACAGGAACACTTCCGAGGACTGACCCGTTGAAATTCTCATTGTCGATAGGGTGCATAATTTCCTATCTATTGTTTTTCTTCTTTGTCAACCATCATTCATTTTAAGCCTCTCGTTTACCTTCAGGAACTTAACGTATTTAACATGGTTCTACGTGATGTTTTCTATGGTCTTCCTAAACCTCCTGCCCCAGCATTCCACATAACCAAAGTGGTTCAAGATTTCGAGACAGTTCTCCTGGCGCACACACGGGAGAAAGGTTTTGTCCCTCATCAGCCTTGGATTGCAAAGATACATCAACTGTGGACTCTCTCCAAAGTTCACCGAGGTTATTTATTTCCTAAAATTGTTGTTAGGTGGTCATTTTATTGATCTCGCGTACAACATATACCTGTTCTTAGAGTTTTTAGAGAAACCGTGATGCTGCGTCGGTGGGGGAAATTATAAGTTGATGTAGTTTTATCAACTGAGATGGTAATGGAAATTGGCAACTGTAAAGACTTTCTAAAGCTGACGTTTCGAGCGTTAGCTCTTAGTCATTCCCTTTGACGAAGGGCTAACGCTTGAAACGCCAGCTCCAGCGGAAACTCTTTACCTCTTAGCCTTTGTCAACCAATTGTGCAGTGGAGACAAATCACAGAGCAGGCGGCGCAGTCCCCGCTTTTTCGTTTGTTTCCACAAATTTGCCGCCTGGAGCAGGCTATCGGAGCATTGGGGATTTGACAATGGTGACAGCGCTGGGTTCACACCATTATAACAAGAGTACCAGTCTTTTACATAGAGTCAGAAATTAATGGAGTTTACTTTTGGGTCGCGTTTTCGTATCTTTGAAATATTTTTCGGTCTCCCTGGACCAATTCCTTCAACAATAAAGTAACATTCAAATTCAATTCGCTATCGATTTGAAGTTGGTAAAGACCAAGCTGTTACGAGTACGAATGACATATTGACTAGGAAAGAACATATCTAAGGTTTTTTCCTTGCTCATACTATTCCTATACCTCTTAGGAATCATTGTCGCCGGACCTCCCGGTACTGGCAAATCCTCCTGTATCTCAGGACTGGTAGAGACCCTCAGTGAATGTTCACTGACAAAACACAAGAACACAGGTTCACAGATGCATACGCACAAGTTACAGAGAATAAATCCATTAGCCGTGTCTGATCCAGCTCTGATGTTTGGTAAAGTGAATTCATCTTCAGATTTTGAGGACGGCATCTTCACTGCTTACTTCAGGAAGGCCAACAAGGACCATAGTGTGCATAAGATGACCACCTGGCTATGCTTAGACGCTCCTTTGCATCAAGGATGGGCTGAGTTTCTGAGCAGCGCGTTGGATAAAGGAGAGGTAATGACATGTCTAGAGAACTTTCCTCACTCGTTAGAACGCGGCTTTTATGGGTTCTAAAGCACGGGTAGCAGAATGGGTAGATTTTGTCACGACTAGCCGTAAATGAGATTCGTTTTCCGTATCCAAGGCATCGCAAAGTGTCTTTTTTAACCTTTTCACTCCCAATATCTCATTAGTATTTCTCCTTACTGTCTGCCACACAATTCATATGATGATAATGTGCAGAATTTGGTATTGGATCTACTAGTAATCCACTAATTGACATTTTTCTTTACTCTCATTACTTATCTGCTTGATATTGTATTGATATTGTAAGGAAAAATTCTCCAATACCCGCTTGATATAATACCTCAAATAAGAGTCATATGGAAATGTTTGTCGATAGAAGGTTATATGTAGAAGGCACCATACAGTACTTTCATTCATTTCTGGATATATTTGGATTTGACCTTGCATATTTTTTACTGAGAAAAGAAAAAATGTGTTGCCTCTCCTTCCCTCAACTCCCTGCCCGTTTCTCCTAAAAGGTACCAGATGTAAGGGAAATGGCCAAAATGACTGCTGGAAAGTTTGCCATTCATTATTTTTTTTCCAGTTATGTAAGACGATTTAAGATCATTTCAAAAAACCGTTTATTTTACAATCATTTTTATTTATTTCACCTTTGCTGTTTATATCATGATTACGGAAAAAAGGATTTCACGCATCTCGCTGTGCGTGTGGTCAATTTGCGAAATCATATAAAACGGACGGATTCTTGTTGAAAGACAGCGCACTATGTTTAATTGCCGTTAGCACGTTGAAGGATGTTGTCTTCTGTCGAAAATTATGCACTTTCAAAGTGGTAATGTTTGTGATTTTGTCTCCATGCCTTTTGTTGTTTCAGTATCTGAACCTATTGAACGGTGAGAGGCTCTATCTATCAGAGTATGTCAAACTGATTTTTGAGACAGATGATCTGACAGACGCTTCACCTTCCACTGTCTCCAGATGTGTAAGTATGGTTTTGTCTCAATTGTTCCTCTAATTGTTATAAGAAGTCAGTTTTGAATTCTTGAAACTGCAGCTTCATTTTGTCAAATAGAAGTTCCAAGTCACCGCTTCCTCATCATTATTGGTGCGCTGGACACAAATATAACATATAAAGATAAATTAGCGTTAGCCCTTCGCCAGTCTGACGAAAGGCTAATACTCGAAAATTCAGCTTTGAAATCCCTTTACGGTGGCCAATGCACATTATCAACCCAGTTGATAAAACCAAAATTATCTTGTTGTACTCCCTTACCGACACAGCACCACTGTTTCTTAAAAACTTACCCCATCTAATAAAATATATGTTTAAAGGAAATAAACATGACTGTATTGAGGCAGCTACAAAGTAGATATCTAATGCTGGCTGGAATCGTAGTGAGATGGCCACTGAGCCAAGGTTGACACATCAGGAAAAAGCGTCCTCCTTGAAGCAGCACTTCACACAAACAACATTAAAGTGTGTCCTTGTTTACACTGGTTTTTATTTTTAATTTCATTTGTGACCTTAGGGTGTGGTCTACATGGATGAGACTGTGTTGGGCTGGAGACCTTTGGCTGAAGCCTGGCTGGCAAACAGATCTCCCCAAGAAAGCCATGTAGGTGTTTATTATCAACAAATAAAAACAGTGCGTTTCTAAGATCGATCGAACCAAGAAATTATTGTAATTTAGGAATAATAGCGAAGAACTTTGAGCAGTTCTTAAGCTGACGCTTTGTTTCTTCCTTTTTCTCAGTGTCTGCAACGAGCATTTAACAAGACCGTTGATGTCATCTCGCAGTTTGTTCACTATGAAGCAAGGTTAGCTTTTGTTTTACCTTCTTAGTGGGCCAGCCTTTATAATCCATTTATAAAAGGGGGGAGGGTAGGGGTGGCCTGGATTCTTATCAGGGAGGATTAGCAAGAGGGAAGAATGATCAAATTTAATCTTGTGAAAACGAGGGAATCTAAATCTAGCGGGAATCTTGCTAAATGTTTGCTTGTATCGATATCTCCCCAAGTCGCTCTGCTTGTTGAGTCGCGATCAGAGTTCTCCTGAGTTTGTTACGTTACTGGTTGTAATCCTATTTGTTTTCTCTTTTGTAGACCATTCATGAAAGTTTGCGAGGTGGGGCTGTTTAACACGTGTCTCGCATTGTTAAAGGCATTGATCGAGGTAAGCGTGAGACTTATGTTGACTTTCCTGCTGTTGGTACTGCTGAGCTTGCAGTGCCACGCTAAAAAAGAGTTTACGATCTTTCTTAACTCTGTGTTCCCCTAGTACTTTTGTGAAGGTGTATAATCGCTTTTTTGGAGTTCATAAATTCCAAAAGCTGGGAAAAATGCGTGCTGTTTCTCCATTCAGTCTGTGTTCTATAATGAAGAATGGAGAGTAACTTAATCAATTTGCACTGCAGTCATATTAGTGAACGTAAAAAATAATGCAAGTTGTAGTGTTTCTGTTTATGATCAAATGTTTCGATCTCACCTCTTTTTAGGGCAACACTGACATTGGTGGCGAGCTTCATATTGAGAGGTTGTACTTGTTCTCGCTTATTTGGTCATTTGGTGGCCTTTTGGATGAACAAGACAGGAAGAAGTTCAGCGAGCTGTTACTGTCCCTGACAACTGCCTTGCCAGATTATGATCAAGAAATCTCCGTGTTTGATTATTATGTTGATGAATCTGGAGAGTGGGACCCGTGGCAGTCAAGGTTAGTTTTGTCACAGCGATTCAGAGCCACTCTCTTGAACAATTATTTGTGGGAAATTAAACCCAATCGTTACCGACATACCCGTAGCCAGGTGGCCAGGTAAATGTATTCACTTTTGGTTTTTTTTTCTTTTTCGATAAAGAGTTCCAGAAGTAAGCTATTTTGATGCAGCAGATCTCCTCGGAGAGGTATTCGTGGACACAGTTGACACAGTAAGTCCTCACATCTCATAAATATTATCACATTTTTAGCTTTACTGATTGTAATTTAACTTGCCGCTTCATTTTCTTTCAATGTGCAGCTATTTTAAAAACACTAAGAAAGTCCCACAGTTGAAGCGCATACGCTCAATCAACAAAGTGAATGAACGATTTCTGCACGGAGGCTTTTATTTAATTTGTTAAGCTCCCGGATTTTTTTTTCCATATAGATCCGTACACGTCAGTTCATGGAGTTGGCCAGCGCTTCTGGCAGAAACATTTTGCTGACAGGTCCTGCAGGATGTGGAAAAACATCACTGATCAGCGACTTCCTTGACAAGCAAGGTGAGCGTCAAAAACAATGTATCGTTATGAAAATCAGTACTTCCCGTTTTCTTTAGGCTGGATAATAAAACGCTAAATAAATTACATTTTGACTCGATATTGCTTTACAACGACTTGGTCTTTCCTGATAGATTTATGTTTTTCCATTCCACTGTTTTTCAGAGGACAAGAACCAAATTGTAAAACGCTATGTCTATTCAGGAACCTCGGGAGCTGCTTCATTACAGCATTTTATTGAACATAACATTTACCATAGACAAGGTGAGTTAACCCCAGTACCTGTTACTAACCTAGTACGCAGTTTCGTACAGCCTGGGGTCAGTCCAGACCCCTTCTCAGTACAACGTACTCCTTCCCTTCAAGACAACCACTTGAGAGAGGATATTATTGTACGACACTGTTTTGTGTTTTCGGGCCATTTTCCTACCACAATGTATCATCATTTTTTTTTCTTTTACCATTTTTACCTCCTTTATGTACTTTTCCTCTCCCTCTAAGAGAGCTACGTGATGGAGACCATAACGATAACGGTTGGACTAGCAAAAGAAAGATTGAACACATTTAAACATATTAAAATTAATTTGAAAACGGCACGGGAGAGACCATTTAAAAGCCAATCGATACATCAGTTATCAGAGGCACAATTTCATCTATTTACTAAAAATTTTAAAACGGAGGTAAACAACTTTTCACACGGAGCGGCGAAACTCGGGCAGTACAAAAATAATTTCCCATAAGCCCATAATTAGATGACATTACTTATTGTGTGACACAGGATTCGTGTATGGTGCCAAGAAAGGAAAAATACTCAACATGTTTATAGATGATCTTAGCCTTCCTCAGCGAGATCAATATGGAACTCAGGAGGTCAACGAGGTGAGTTTAACCTTGCATCTTTTTCCTCTTGATCTTATCTTTGCGACTGAAATGCGCTTGGAATATACCGTGAGGCATAAAAAATTTGCGGAATGTCGATTTTTTGTGTTTTCGCGAACAAAGTGTTGCGACCAGCAATGTACCAGATTTCAGCTGGGAACTGATTTTTGCGATTCTCTGTTTAAACAGCCTAACATTTATAAAGAAATAAACTTAATATGTGCAGATTTTCTAACCTTTTGAGAAATATGCAGAGCAGCTTCAAGATCGATGGTTCCTTAAGGAGTGAATCTGCAGGGGCTTCATTAACTTTTCCTATAAGTAGTGCCTAAGGCGCACCCCAGACAGGAGAGCCTGCTCGCAGGCTGACCGTTCAGCTCCCATGAGTGACCAAGACAGAATTTCGCCTTACAATTTCGATATAACTTTATGAAGACAAGAGATGGGAATTAAGAAAAAATCAGTTAGGGGATTATTAGTTGATCCAGTACCAAATTCTCCAAACTTATTTCACATGAATTGTAGTGCAGACAGTAATGGGGAACTACTAGTGAGATTTTAGGAATGAAAGGTTAAGAGGTCTTATAGGCGGTAGTGGACTGTCAGTAACTGGCTTTTATCGAAACCTCTGAATCTAGACATGACTTAAGACCGTCGATGTCGCAGTTTTTATTTATAATAACTGATTTTTTGTGGATCGATGACTTTCCACAAAACCCGAAATATTTTGACTCCACTCTATGACATGTGGTTTCTTATCTCTTGTCTCTTGTATGTATTAGCTGTTACGACAAGTTCTCGATGAAAAAGTCCTGTTCAACACCAAAAAGCCTTTTGACCGTCGTATTTTAGAGGGTGTCGTCGTTACGGCGGCTATGAACATGCAGTCAGAACTGGTCACCAGCCAGCAAATTCCTGAGAGACTAAAGGTGTGTATGATAACGATTTTACAACATCGAAAAAAATCTCTCTAGTAAGGAGGTATTATTTCATTTGCACGCCATTTTTACCTCCTGTTGATCTTTACCCTTGTACCTTAGACATGCTTACTTTTTCTGGTGACCTTTTTTTTACTTGTTAACTTACATTAACTTGTCTTGCAGCGCCATTTTGCTGTATTCCGTTTACCAGCTCCGTCAGAAGAGTCGCTCTTCACCATTGTTACTTCCGTATTGGAGGTGAGTACAGCCATGGCTCTCTGTTTTAACTTCATCAAGAACGCGCAGCAGAACAAAACTAAAGGTTTTCAAGACTAACTTCAAAGCTTGGCTGAGAAAAAAATTAGTCTATCATTTATCTGCTATGTTACTATTTTGACTCTCTTCGATTGTTTTATTTGTTTAGGCCAACATGGCTCAGAATCAAGGCATGGGTTTGCCACAAGAGTTTCACGAGCAGATAGTGATGGCGTCGTGTATGCTGCTCAACAGTTTGCAGGATGTACTAAGACCTTCGCCAACTCCTGGAAGGTGTCATTACCTGTTCAATCTCAGGGAAATCACGAGGGTGTTTCAGGTGGCTTACATGCTCCGAAATTAATCGCAACTTGAACTGTACATGTAGAGGTTGCTAGCTAATTAACAAGGGAATTCCATGTTGCCTTACATCTGTTTCGTAATAGATCACAGATGGCTCCAAAATGGGATATGAACGAAAAAGTAGCACGTGATGTGCAGCCGAGTGTGTCACTAATGTTCTAACCACATTTTGACGTCATATGTGATCTGTTACTGAACAGACTCACGGAAACATGGAATCTGTTTGTTTTTTTATGATAAAAAAGTGTAAAATTTTGTTAACGATGACGTCATTTAAGCGTTTGTCTTCCAAAAGATCATAAGTAAAAGCCAATCAAAATTTAGCTCATCATATAACTAGTATTTCATAAAAGTTCACGTCTTTTATGAGAGAGTTTGGAAACAAAAAGTATTACATGGGTAGTAATTGGGCCGATTGAATGGACATTGAAGAATACTCCATCTAAACCTCGATGGCCTCAGATATGTTTTACTCAGGCGTGGAAAATTTTCTCCTACCGTTACATTACACTAGTCTGCTGCTACCAAATTGTTTTTAAAAAATACTTGACGCTTTGATCGAATCGAGGGGGAGAGTCACGGGAAGGGGCACAAATGGACGTGCCGTGGGATTTCTATCTGGGTAACATTCTTCTTGATCCTCCTGAGATCACCGATAACGGTATCGATCGCTAAATATATTTAGATACTTTTGGAAATGAGGCAATTGAAATGATGTTTCAGTCTGTTGACTCGATCCTCTTTAAGAAAAAAGTTAAAATGCATAGTGAAAGCACGTCGGTTGAAGATTTGTTTTTTGTGTGTCAGAACATCGCAAAAAAATAGTCCCCCAGTGCTAATGCACTGGCAAGCAGGCAGGTGATACGAACCAGGTATATTATTAATTTTGGGGTGTATTGTTACTAGTTGGAAGAACTTTCCTTGAGATTCTGGGAGTGATAGGGTTGAAGCAGACTTGCGTTTTCTTTGTTGTGATTACTGAATGTTTTAATTTCAGGGGTTAAAAAATTGTTCAGAGGAGATGCAGGCTGATGAGGAATACGTGGTATCCCTGTGGCAGCATGAAGTAACACGAGTGATTAAGGACCGTATATGCCGATCATTAGATATTAAATGGTTTGAGAAAACTCTCAAAACAATTATTAAAGAGGTACAACTGCAAAAAAAGTTGCTTTGATGGACTTAGTAGTTTGTTATGTACAGAGCAGATTAGCTTATTCTTTTTTTTTTGCTTCAGAACTTTCCAGAGCTTCCTGCCAATTCTCCGTCTTCTCTGTTTATTACTTTTCCACTGGATGCAGGACTTTACGCTCAACGTCCTGTGACTCAGGGACGTGTTGCACCAAAGGTTTGTTGTAGAAAAGATTTCAAAGTAAAACGAAATCACGTGAAATGAAGTACTGTAAATTTAACACTGCAGCAGCCCTCCAAAGGAGCCATACCAGGTAGATAGGAATTTGTGACCGAACATGAGTTTGGGGTCTGGATTCACCAACCTTGCTGTAGATTTATTGAGATAAGAGGTGTAGACATTTTTATGAATATTATGAATGTTTTTTATAAGGTTTTCTCTCAATATTAACACTTTCCTTTCTCATCATTTGCAATGTTAAAAGCTTGGTGAAAATCTTAAGCAACTAAACCTTATTTAAAGTAATGGATAACACCTATTTCCGTCGTGGATTTGGCGATGAATATTCGACTTTTTGTTTTGTTTGTTGTTGTAGATCCTTCTTCAAGCTATAAATAACATTGAAGACGTGTCCGCTTGTTTACAAAGCTATCTGAAGCGTTACAATGACGAGTTCAGCGGACTGGATTTAATGATCTCATCTCATGTCATGTTTCATGTTGTCCGTCTGCATAGAATCTTAAGTTACAAGAACAGGTAAACAGCTGATGAATTAAATCATGTCGAAATCTTGCCATACTGGAATTGATACGCTTTATTTTGATAAATCTGGTTGAGTGAGTTCAGAACCACTGTATTTTAGCCAAGAGAAGAAGAGATGAAAAGACTGAATCAGCCTTATTCCTTGGTTATGCCTGTAAAGTTATTTGTAGACTCATACCATGTATCCGGTGAGCAGGAGTGAGGCTAAGGGTGAAATTGTTGAGATGCAAACGTTGTTGCTTTTTAAAAGTAAATTACTTTGTTATCGTGCTAACTGGGTACTGGTCTACATCACAGCAAAGTCACCTTCAGCCTCACTCTAAATCAAAGGCTTGGCAACTAAGTACACAACTGTAAAATGATCTATTATGTTACAAATACCTCGCATGCTGCGTTGGATCTCCACGTGAGGAAAATTCACGATAAGGGGTTCATTATTTCTTGACATTCCTGAGATCTCTGGAAACGGAAGTAATCTAGAAATAGAGAACTTTAGATCCTCGGAGGAGTTAGCTACGAATAGGCGATTTGAGTTCGCGCGGAATGCATACAAACAGAAACTCGCAAGGCTTCATTGTGATCTCTATGATCAACACAGTTGGTTCACTTGTAATTTTCGGACACAATCAAGCTCTTTCCTGACTGAAAAACTATGAAAGCTGTGGATGCATCGGGATATTATTTGCGCAAAAACGCTCTACCACTAATGTTCTGTTTTCTGCCAAACTAGCCAGGTTCGCGCGCCCTTTGTTTTAGTTTTGGAAATCTCAAGCTCGTAATCGTATTCACCCAAAACTCACGAGGAATCTAATTTACGGCCTATTTGGGGATTTCAATCTCCGGACACCATTCTCTCCTGATTTGAGTCTTACGTGAGTCTCTAATCTTCCTTTTTTCAATGATTTATTCTTTTCTAACAGAGGGAATGCATTGCTGATTGGGTCGATAGGGACTCACCTCAACTCCCTTGCAGCTTTAGCATTGTACATGCTGGAGTATCCCATTCACCCTGTGGACTGTTCTTATCCAAACACGTTTCTCGATGGACTCAGATCTGCTGTGCGTCAAGCTGGCTGCGATGGAAAGACCACCACTGTCTTGTTTACTGTAAGTATAGACGTGGACCTGAACTTCCAGAAGAACAATTTCACCTCGTTTCTGTTTACCGAGATTCAGAGTAAACTAGTTTTATAAAAATCTCAGTGGTCGAGAATCCTAAATGCTCTAGTTTGAGCTGAGAGTGAATAGCATCTAATGTCTCCTTACAATATCACCCGAATCACCCATTAAAGCCACGAGAATGAAGGAAATGATCCTTAACTGAAGAAGCTCTTAATTGTTCAACAAATTCTTCTTGTTAGCACCTTAGAGATACATGCAAATGTCAGGGTCTAAAGGGTCATTCAGGCCTCCTGAAACTGTCTAAAAGAAATCAGGGATGCAAAAGTTATCTTTGATTTTCGAAATCGCCTTTTCGGGCGGAATCAAGATATTAAGATCAACTTTACAGTCAAAAAATCTTTTTGTTCAAATAGTTTACCATTTAAGTGTGAGATAATTTCTTTCAATGGTGGTGTTATTTTGATTTGAAAATCATGTTGTTTTTATCCAGGCACCAGATTTAAGGGATGACATGTATTTGGACGCGTTAAACAGTTTACTTATCAGCGGAGAGTATCCGCCGTTGTTCTCCGTGGATGAGTTAGACAGCTTGCTGCAGGTAAGGTTTTCCTCTAACATATTGCCTCAGTCGTTTTGGTCTTTTTTTATCCCATTAATGTCCCTGTTTGTCAAATTCGCATGTGTTAAATGTTTCTGTTATGTTTTATTGACAGGCTTTGATGCCAGCCATCAAGAAGAAATTCTCCAACTTTTTGGCGGACCCCATGAAATTTTTCATCACTCGTGTGAAAGCCAATCTTCACATCATCCTTTGTCTTCCACCCACTCATAAGCTGCTTAGAATTGGCCCAAGGTATGACATGAGATAAATATAAAAATAAATAAAGCTGAGTAATTTCAGGATTTTCCTAACCTCTTAGGCCGCCCTCATGATGAAAAACTAACCGGTCAGAGTTTCCTGTCAATAAATGTAGATGGTCGCTTTTTAAAACGGACAGATCCATTTCCAGGCGAACTCGGCATTTCGGTGTACTCTTACATTTTTTTCAAACCACTTAGAACCTCTCCTTCCAGCTGAGCCAGGCCTGATTAATAGAAAACGCACCCACGCTTAGTTCTAGCTTTGGAAACGAGTTCGTTTGACCATTATTTACCCTTTACGCCATAACATCAGTATGCAAATTCTCCATTCTGTTCCTCATTCTTTTCACAGGGTGCTTACAAGGCTAATTTTTGAAACAATCAAGAGCTTCTTGAGTTCATGATCATTTCCTTTTCTCTCATTCGTGATTGTGATGTTTGATTCAGAGATGATTCTGTTGGGGAGGGGGAGGGGGAGATTAGATGCTTGTCACTCATAGGGGTTCAATCATTTGATACATTTGTCCTTATGTTCATAGTTGTTACCCTGGTATCCTGTATGGCTGTCAAATGGACTTTGTTAAGGACTGGCCTCAGTACGCATTGGAAGGAGAAGCTAGCCATTATCTTAAGAAATACAACGTGCTCGACGATATTTCTGAACAAACTAGGTACGTAAAGCGTCATCTTTAACAAGATCTTAACAAAGCTTCTTCACAGTGTTTTGAGTATTTTTATGTAACGTGCAAAATTTTCCTAAACCTGCGAAAAACTGTAATAAAATTAATACGAAAACACAAAAATGAAAGGAATAGTTCAAACGTGAGAGAAATGGTGCAACTAAAAGATGACAAATTTGTACAAGAATTACAAATTAGTCATTTGAAAGTGTTAGGCTGCTTTTTAATTTAATCAAAACGTTTAGCTTTATTTGTTGTACGTCCTGATATGTCTCTGAGCAAGCCAGTACGTTAGAACTACATTTGTACATGTTTTTCCATGATAGAAATCTATCCTTTTTCTAAGTCAAGGAACAACATTTTTTCAAAACTTAGTGTCATTCTCTGGGAACGCAAAATAACTTTGTGTCTTCCCACTGCATGTTTAATGTGTTTAAGAAGCACATGATAATCTCTTTAAGAAATTTTGACAGAATTGATTGGTCACTTCTATCATCCTTTTGCGACTATTCTGTAATTTCGATCGGATCACGCTAAATACCTCGATGCGTTTTGTCACGGTATACACTGTTTGTACTTATATATCCTTGAAACACTGTGTAGAAGTTCTCGTATACTTTTGCAGAGACAAAGTGGTTGTGTCCCTATCCACCATTCATGGTCACGTGTTAAGAGAGTGTCACCAGATCCCCTGGGCCGGGGACGACCATCTCTTGACCATAGCCGAGTCTCCTCCAGAAGAACCCAGCGCAAGTGAACCGCGCTCGCTGTCAATCCTACTGGAGAAGATTAACTTGAAGCATCAAGACAACGGAGGATCCAACATAATCGGGGACGTATTTGTCGGGCCCACCACGTATATACAGTTCATGCACTGCTTTAGACACATCTTTAGAGACAAGAGAAAGGAGGCAAACGAACGAGTTGATCAACTCACGTAAGTTGATGTGAACGTTTGAACAAAATCTCAGTTTGTAGTACGTATTACATTCTTTTAAAGGGCAAAATATTTGCAACAGTTTATATAATTAATATAATTTTTTCACCACCTCTTAGCATAATTTACCATTATTTTGTCATTTCCAAAGATTTAATATGGACACGAAATTTTAAACCAAAACAAAAACACAAGGATACGATCATGTGTACGACTTGCCTAAAGGTAGCTCTTGTCGTAGCAGAATAGCCAGAGTTTTTTTGTTTTGGTTTTTTTTTTTTTGGATTCCGCTTCCCTCAGTTTAGGAACCGTTGATCTTTGCACGCACTTAAATCAAATTTCTCTAATGGTTGCATTAATTTGATTAAGTTATTTATGCAAGTTCACAGTTTGGGGAAAAACACTCGTATTAATTCCTGTCTTTCTTTTGATCTGCTTAACGTGAGTCAGCTCACTCATTATGTCCGTATTCTTACGTTCTCTTCCTCTATTTTCGTCAGCCGTGCCGTGGCGACCCTGGAGCTAACACGACAAGATTCCGTGGTGATCAAGGACGTGATTTCAGACACCAAAAAGAAGTTGTCTGTTGCTACGGTCAAATCAGATGAGTTGCTGGAAGCCCTCACTGCCAAAGCTACAGCGCTTGAGAAACTTAAAGCTAAACTTGGTATCGGCAGTGCCACTTTAAGTGCGTTTGTTGCACTCATTGATAGCGAGATTGAAGACGATGACTTAGCTCTATTGCAGGTTTCTTGATTCTCATTGTTTATAGTCTGTGAACAGGTTGTTTAATCGAGGATGGGGTGAAGAGTAAAATAGGACGAAAAAGAGCGAGAGAAGGGTAGGGTGGGGTAGGCGCTCTTCTTCCCCTGACCCTCTTCCCCGCCGGCCGCTTTACTTGAAGCCAATTTCTCCCCGGTCCTTTCAACCGGAGCCTATTCAACGGCTGAGTGTTTCATACTCTTGTGCTGCTTTTATTGTTATCTCTATAGTTAAAGGGGTAGTGTTTTTAAGTAAAAGAAATTTCCATTTTATAACAGTTATGTGGTGGAAAGCCGAAACTAAGCCAATTTCTCTACTTGTCTATATTTCTCCTTCTTTTTCCTTTTGTGTTTGATTATGCTTGCTTCTGATGTGAGAATGCAGGCATTTTAGGACGTTGTGAACGGTAAAACGGATGTTGAGTCTCCCTGTTTGTGGTATTTGCTTCTTGCTGGCTCAATCTTTTCTTGACTCACGCTGTTATTCATAAAATCGTTGGTTTTTGTGTTCGTTTGTCAACTGTCCGTCTGTCCGTTTATTACAAGGTAATTTGGAATTATCAACAGAGCTGATAGCGTTAATTGGCTACCGTTTAGAGTTTCAAAGCCGACGTTTCGAGCTTAAGCCCTTCGTTAGAGCGAAATCATTCGCTCGAACGAAATCATTCGTTCGATCATTCTCTCTGATGAAGGACTAACGCTTGAAACCTCAGCTTTGAAACTCTTAACGGTGGCCAATTTACGTTATCAACTCAGTTGATAATAGTATGTACCTTGTTATACTCTCCCACCAAAGCAGAACCACAGTTTTTTTGAGAAACTTAGCCCCTTAATTTGTTCCTTTGTTAATTAATCAGTCTGTTCGTTTGTTCAGTCATATATTTGTTTATCAATTACTCCGATTGTTAGCGTTTGATTTTAGCGGTAGTTTAAGGCCTCACTCGTACTCCAATATCATGGTTATTCTTACATTTCGTCTCCATTTGATTGTGCGCGGTAGGATGATGAAGCGGACGAGTTAGATGAAGAGTTTGAGAAACTGAAGAAAACCAACATAAAGAGCCGCCAATTGAAGGTACTGGAGGCGATTTCTCACGCAGAGGAGGAAGTAAAGGAAACTAAAGTGGCTTTGAAGAAATCTGAGGAGCAGGTTGGTTCAGCAAAAGTGATTCCTCCCATTGACTCTCAAATTTGATAAGAATTTGCCCATTGTGATGTTATTTTCCAACAAATAGGTGGCGAAAGTAGCCTTAGAAATTCACTGCAGAGTTTTTAGTCGCTTGATTGACTGTCGTAAATCCTTGGTGGATAGATTCACACAATGCCTCCCTCCATCCGGGAGAGTTAATGGCTACCGTCGAATTTCCTGGGATAGCTATATTCCTAGTAACCACTGGGATGACCGATGATCCTTGGGTAGCTACGGGTCGCTGGGTTTGCAATACATAATCTAACCGTATCTATGTTGTATGTAGGTTAAACACTGGATGCATAAGGTTGACAGATCTCTATGCGAGCGCCTCAGAGCTTTTCAAAGCCCCCCGCCTATGGCCGGTATGGTTATGGTGATGGTAATGGTGTTACTGGGTAGACCGGAGTTTGCTCCGGGTATCGGAGGAGCGGGATCCACCCTTCCACCCCCGACTAGGCACGATCGGAGAGGAGATCATAGTTCTTCTCTAGGGACTGGGTCAGATGAGGCGTCTCGCGCGAGCTCCGCGCCACACAAGAAACGGGGCTTCAAGGAACAATCTCAGAAGGGAGGAGCACAGGCTCCACTCTTGGGTATGAAATAATTTCTTTTCTAAATCGCGTCTTACTTGCTAAGCTTTTTATCTTAATTGTGTCATTTTTCAAATTTGTTGCTAAATCGCCTTTCTTTCTTTCTTTCTTTCCTTTCTGTTTTTAACTCGTGAATTGCGCGCATGCGCAAGAGCGAGTTATAGATACCATGTGGGGAATGGCATTCGCTCGCTCGCTCGATTGGTCGATTCCTGTAAACTTTTTTTTAGATTTTAGGCTTTTGAGTGCATTTGATAGTTTTTAGCGAGCAATAAAAAAAGAAATGGCGACCTTTGTTGCTAAGAATAGTGGTGGGGTGAAAAAGAAGCCAATGATAATCTTAAAAGAGTTTTTTTTTTCGTTTTAGTTTCAACAAGCGGCGCCAGCGACTGGCAGGCATACAAGGATTCACACTGAAATAACAGAACAACCTTCGTTTTTCATAAAATTGTAATTTACAATCCATGAACTCGAAAACAATCCGAAGATTCATCGAAAATATTACTTACTGCGAAGCGCTCGAAGTTTACAGATGTTCAAAAGCTTTTTCTGTTATGGCGTGAGATTGAGGACAAAATTGATCATTACGTTTCGTCGCGTGTGTTTTTCCTGTGTGAAGCAACAAAAGATGCCGGCGACTGACGAAATTACAAGTTAACAAGAAAATCAAATAACACCTAAACAAACAATTTTAGCTACCGATTTTCAGTGAATTTTTAAAGAACAATTTTCTTTTAAGTTTCAAGACAATTTGGAGATTCAACATACATACAACGTACTAAAATGCGAAAGTTACACACCACAAAATTGATAAATAGGCCTGAAATGAAATTCTAACTTGTTGTTGATTATACGTTGCCTAGCACGTGACTTAAATCTACCCAGGCGGAGATCCAAAATGACGGTGGCAGGCTTGGCTTATGCCCCATTCACACCAAAGCTTAAACATGTTTAAAAGTTGTTTTGTTAAACACGGTTTAATTTTTTTTTCTTCATAGAAACTATTTAACCGAATATTTTTGACTTGAATGTAGCACATTGGAAATGCAAGTTAGCAAGTACTTGAATCCAATGGAAAATCAAGTTTTTCAGTTCTCTGTTTATAATTTTCATTCAATGAAAACCAGTTTAACAAAACATGTTTTGCTGGTGTGAATGGGGTATTAGTTATATCACTCAAAACTCGTTCCAGTTTGTCTCATTTGATAAAGAGGGAATCGTTAATGTTTTCATTAAGACAGTATTGCCTTGATTTTCTAATATTTACAACGAAAGACAGTAAATTTCACTTTTCACCCACATTTACTTCCAACCTTTTCTTTTGAACCAGAAACAAAAATGATAGACGTTTAAAACACATGACATCATCCACCTTGTCAAATGTAATAGCATGATCATTTCAATTGTAATGCCTTCTTATCCCAACGTTACTTTGTTTCTTTGCTACATTAGCGAACACTCTAGCTATGACAATCAACCACAAAATTCCCTAAACCAGATAACATTAAACATAATCTAAAAAATCAGGTGTCAATTCACGAGTTTGCTCACAGAGCACTTTGATTTCTTCCTTTCATCAATATTTCACTTTTCTCAATCATAGGAGTGAATGCCGAGGGTAAGGTTGACCGCTCGACATGGAAAGCTATCCAGCAAATTATGAACGACTCGCAGAAGTTTGTCGAATCTCTACATCACGTTCCCTGGAAAGAAGGACTACCCGACGACATCCTCAAGGGTGTTCAGTCCTTTTTGGCCACTTCCAGCGGCGGAGAAGTCTCTGACAGTGACCTGCGCACTGCTGCGCCAGGTGCCAGTGCGAGTACTTACCAGTCTTCCCCTGGTCGAACAATGATTACCCCAGGTAATATTAGTTTGAGTTAGTGAGTTTATAGTTTGCTAGCAGGAAACGGCCGGCGAAGGTTAGGCATAACGCAGAACACGTACCATTTTCTTTGACTATTCTCTTTAACGTGTCTTCAAACCGAAGCCTCTTTGTAAACCGAAGATTTCGATGTAAGAGAGTTATTGAAGGTCCTTCATTCCTGGATTCGGCGGATTAAGTACGCTTAACTATTAATGAAAAGGTTCAGATATGAGCCCTTGTGTGGTCAATTTGATTTAATCTTTTGCAAACTTCTTCACTCGTGGAGCGCCGCGCTCCACCAAGAAGTTTGAGTGAATGGTCGGGAACTTTGATGGAAACATCATGAATTGGGAGGGAGGGGTTACTGGCGATAGATGAGCAGCATCCCGTCCTATCGCAGAAGAAACACTCCTAGTCACTTTACATTGAAAGCGAGATAAACTCTGATAGAAAGAGACCAGTAGGCATGTAAGATAGGGCCATGACGAAATGTAGAAATTTCATAATACATCAGAGACTTTTAAGTTAAAAATTATCTGTTAAAAGAAAATCTCGAAATAACGATTGGTAGTTAATAGCTTTTCAGTGGTCTGTTTTTCTCCATAAATTTTCCCAATTTCTTATTATTTTTAAACAGAAAAGAAACCACAAGGAATCACCATCACAGCAGCTAAATATTCATCAGAGGATGCTGCGGTTCTCGTGGAGTACACTGTTGCTTTAGTGGAGTACACAAGTCGGTACCATCCTTACAAAAAGGCTTGCGATACCTTGGAAGAGCTGATGACGGAACGTGAAGAGGACGAGAGACGAGCTGAAATCGATCAAGATGCAGAAAACAAAGAAAAGGAAAAGGCAAGGAAAGGTTTTGATTATCATTTCCCCAAACAGGAACATCAAGGAAACCCGACAGAATTATAAAATTCTTGTGAAAAATGTTACGCGGCTTGTCTGATGTAGCGTTTCTGACCTTTTGTAATTCGTAGGCAAACTCGTGTGGGATTACGCTCAAATCACCTTGGTAAATTCAATATATTGGCAGTCTGAAAGGATAATTGATATAGGTTTAATTGGCAGTCGTGGTTGAGTAGTTAACATAAGGACGTAAGGTCTCTCTTCTCCAAGGGAAAGAATCATTTAGCAGCAATGTTCGACGAAATACCTTTCTTTTTCTTCGCATTCATTCATCGATGCAATATGGCCATTTATTGCTCATTTTGTTACTTGAAGGTAAACACGCCTGAGCCAGAAGTCGAGCTGACCGAAGCTGACTTGCCAGATCTCCAAGAAACTGTAACAAAGCTGCAGAAAGAGTATGATGATGCAGTGGTGGTGAAACATGACCTTAGCAATGATGTCAGGTCATGTAGTGAGAGGCTCAAGGCTGCTACCGACTTATTGCATAGGTAAAGATATCTTGTGAACTATCAATCTGTCTGTCTATCCATCTGTCTGTCTTCCTTGCCTTGTCTGCCCGCATTTCTTCTCTTTTCATTTATCTGTCTCTTTATGTCTTTACCCATCTGTCTGTGTGTCTCTCTATCTGTCTGACTGTTCATTTGTCTGTCAGTTTGTCGGTCTGGGTCTTTGTTTGTTTCTCTGCGTATCTGTCGGTGTCTATCTGCCTTTTTTTTTCTGCCTGCTGATTTCTATGTCCGTCTTTCCGTCTATCTGTCTCCTCGTGTGTTTGTCTGTCACGCGCTCTGTTTGACAATTTGATATAGGAATGTAGAGGCAATTAAGTTATTTGTGTTGGTTAGTGGTCGACATGGGTGAGCAGTTGTCTCGTCAACCGATAGTGGTGTCACCTGATTATGATCTGTAACTACTCACTGCAATGAGCTCTTATAGGAAATTAGAGTTGACCATGTCTGAAATGAGTTTAGACAATAGGACTGGGTCGTAACCACAAGTGCAACATCAGTGCGAAGAATTCTAATCCAACTACAGTCTTACTTATTCTGTATGGATATTATTAAATCAAAACGAATTCTCCCCATACACATTTGGAACTCTGGGAATCTAAATGATACACCAGTTCGTACCTGAAAAAGGTTGTTGAGAACTCCCCATCCACAAGGTGACAAACAAAAAATTTGAAGTAGAACATATAGCAGATTTCTATCAAGTTGTATTTGCAGCTGAAAACGAAAAGAATTACTTCCCTTCCTTTCTTGTTACATGGGTTGTGTTTGGTAAAATTTTCGTCCGTTTATCGTCATCATCACCATTATTATTATTATTAATAATGTCATCTTATTTTTGAATAATTATTACTTCATGTAGCCTGAAATACATGGAGCGAGAATGGAAAGCGTATGTTGACGAGTACACCTCATCTGAAATTCTTCTGTCCAATTGTATCGCTGCAGCAGCTTTTCTAACTTACTGTGGTGCAATGGGAGTCGACAGGAGGTAACCGAATCAGATGATCTTGAGCTCAAAGATTTCAAGGAACGCGTAGGGCAATTTGCTGAATTCAATAGAGCTTTAAAAACACCAATTTTTCTATTTACGCAAGAAACCCTCGGTTTCTTTTCTCTCTTTGGCCCTTTAGAGTGACTGGCATCTAAATTCTTCCCTTGTGATCATTTCTGAATCACAGAGGTCACGAGGATACGAGGATAAAGGAGATTATCACCAACTAAAGAAGCTCTTGATTGATAAAAAAATTCTCCGTGTCACCACCTTAGAGAATGTATAAAGAACAGTATGAAGAATACGCATATTGATGTTATAGTGAAAAGGGTTAAAAGTGACCAGAGTGATTTTTGATTAGTAGTGACAGTAAATAGATTCAATTTTAACTTGACGGATTTTTTTCATACCCTCAGTGATCTGCGTGCTATTTATGTATCAATAACCCATTACTTTGTTTTCCCTCTCAGGAAACGGATGGGCAAGTTTTTCATGCAAGTGTGCAGGGATAATGGTTTGAAAGTCCAGTATCAGCATCTCTTTGATCGTCATACCCTTCCAGAGTTCCTAAAGGGAAAGGTTTGTTAGCTTCATTGTGATGTCATAGTGTTGCGATGTATTTAAATCTAGGAAATGTATCGATAGTAGGGAGTGTTATATTTAGCAGTCTCGATTTTACTCAATATTGTTTTCCACGACAGATAAAGCTGTAGTAAAGTGTGAATCGATCTTATTTTGTGATACAACTCAACAGATTGTTCTGAAGACATGGGAGAACCTGCAGCTTCCAACAGACCCCATCTCCATGGATACTATATGCATCTTCTCACAGGAAGAGAGTTCGGACTCGTGGGCTTTGTTGTGTGATCCTCAGAGAATCGCTATCACTTGGGTATTGACCATGTTAGGACAATCGACACTCGTCAAGTACAAGGTGACAAATCTTGACCGGAGTGATAAAAAAAATTGTTTAATGAACACTTTGAAATAAAGTAAGTGGCCTATTTTGTGTGAGCTCTTTTGGAGAGGTAGTTCCTTCTTTTTTCTGGCATCGTGCAAGGATATGACAGATTTTGGTGATATTATTGAATCTGGTGATTATTCTCTTGCAAAACTATTGCGACATTATAAGGCCTGTAAAGGTTCGCTTTTGGTTCTGTTGTTTTATCGGGTTTGACGGTTCAGCTGCTCTATTTCCCTCTTTTGTTTGTATCCGTTGTCTTTTTAGTTTAAATTGTTTATGATTATTGAAAAACGCTGTCAAAATAACTATGTGTTTCTGACTCTCTTGTTTGTTGCCTCTTTCAAAGTCAAGCAGTAGAGCCCCTGATACTCCCAATTGAGGTCTGAGGGATTCAGAGAAGTAGTTCATTAAGCATTGCGCTTATCGGCTTTCTGTGTGTATCTCGACAGGAACTTCGTGGTCATCTGGAGACATGTTTAATGGAGGGCACCACTCTTGTAGTGACTGATGTGGATGTGAACGAGTTAGAGTTTGATAGTCGATTCTACTTCATACTCCGAAGTCGCTACAGATTCCTTACATCAAGTACACCATTCAAACTCATGGTAAGATCTTACGAAGGAATGCCAGCAATCTAAGATTGCTGTTGTAGCGTAATGAATTGGTTGAAACAAGCCGCTGACCAGAATTCTGTTCTCCTGAAGTACTTTGAAAGATATTCGGTAGCTGATAAAGACGGATAGTTATAGCAAGTAATTGTATCGTCGCCGGTTTTGTGATACGCCTAAACATTATTGACAGACAAGTGTTTATGACAAACGAGAAAAGTTCTCTCTTGAGACTTCTCATAGCACCTGTTTATTTGTACTGGTGACTTATCAGTTTGTTTTTATATAAATATTTGTTTGGAAAGAGACAAACAAGCTGATTGGTCATAGGCAAGACCTAGAAGTAGACATTGAGATCACCACAAACAACTCCAGCTGATAACAAGAACGGGATTTGAACCCAAAGTGACTTTCTTGATGTTGGGTACTTCAGACCTCTCGGTTATGCTACCCTCGCGTATTGTTGTTTTCATTAATCGTGGTATTTACACAATTCTGTTCCAGGTTGGTGAGCATGAAATTGAGTGCCAACCAGGTTTCAGGCAAGTTATGCAACATTTTGCGCGTCAAATAAAAAAAAATGTAATCTGCTAACCATGCAGATTTGACAAGCAGTTATGGCTTGCAACTTACGTTCAACAAATTCAGACTCAATTGTATGAACTATCAGTACAGTTCAGCAACAGTTATTCTCATTGTCATTTTTTTTTCGTGAACATACTGAACTGGCCGGCCAGACCATAGGTGCATTCCTTGAGAAAGTTTGTTCATTAGTCACAACTCCCCCTGGTGATTATACAATTTTTTTACTGATTGTACCCCTATTCCGATTGTAATAATCTATATGAAAAAATTACGAGCTTCTGATTGGCTGAAAACGAGTGCATTCTCATATAACTCGAGTGCAAAGCTGTAACACTAGTGCAAAGTTGTAACACGAGTGCAAAATTGTAACAAATAGCGCGCACACGCCTTCAAAATTCGTCTGCCTTGACTTTCTGCAATGTTTTCTCATGTACGTTATTAACAAGTATTAACATGATTTTTCCTGGACTTTGGTGTAATAACCACCAGTAAATTTTTCAAAGACTTCTAATTACAATTACCCTACGGGCTCGTGCAATTTTGTTGTCTCTTGCTTATCAACACCAAATTGCACTCGAAATCATGTTGTCACCCATGCTAATTCCATAGATGTTAAGAAACTCTCGAAAGAAAAGTCTCCTCTTGCGCAAACTAACCGATCGAGTGGGTTAGCAAACTCTTTCAGTTAACCAATTGCTCTCTATCTTAGAAATAACTTAGAGCCGCCTTTGGAATTTCCTTATCAAATCTTATCTCCGCTTTTAGGTTGGTATTAGCTACGACGTTTTCGAGTAAATCTGTCCCATCTAGCATAGCGGCTTATGTGAATGTAGTTGAATTTAGTCAGTCACGAGACGGCTTGGAGGAGATGTTCCTGGATAGGTTCCTGAGACTTGAAAAACCACGGATGCAGGAAACAAGGACACAAGTAGTGGATGTAAGTAGAACAGCAACAACTGTTAAAACTGCTTAGAATAGAGAGCTAGATCGTCAGAAAGGTGTTACAGTGAAAGTGGAGGCGAAGCTGTATTATGAAAACTTTCATCAAAATTGAATTTTCTGAACTTTTTCAGTGTGTCCAAACTATACTCATATGATTGCGCTGCACTAAACCGTCCCGAATAGTTGATACTAATAACATTTTATGGCTTTTTTTGCTTATTCATCTTGATTGATTACAATAGTCAACAGGGTACGCGTCGCCTGATTAAGCACTATGCTGTGATTGTTTGAAATGCATCAATCACAGCGGAGCTTGCTTGCAGAAGACCAACATTTTGTGGTCGATACGTGGTGAACTACTGCGGAAGAGACTACATCGTGAGACAAATGACAGGACTACAGTATTATATGGAGGGACTGTTAAAAAAATGTACCGCATGAATGGATTTCGCCCGCGAGAGGCTTTTTTGAGCGGCTTAGTCATGAATGTGTGCGCTTGTGTCGTTACTTACAATCTCATCTGTGTGAAGTTTAAAGATAACACTGATGGAAGTCTTTCTCTTTTTAATTTGGCCATTGCCTTTTGTAACAGGAAATGGTGACTCTTATGGAAGGTTTGCGTGAAGCAGAAGAGAACATTTTAGAATGTTTAGGAAGTGGACATCGCCTTCTTTACAACTTAGCAGCCACCAAGAAACTTGCCTCTATAAAGAAACAGCACGAGGAGATTGTTGAAGGGTTGGTTTTAATTCTTTCATTCCCGCGATCGAAATGTAATTTTTTCCTCCTTGTCGTTTTTTTTTCCTCTGAGAAATTTCTGCCTAATCAAATGATATCTTAGAAGTGATACTTTTTATCTCTAATAAACTCTTTGCTTGAAAAGGCAAAGATATCATAAAGAGAAATTGTTTTTTAGTCATCCCTGGGGAGGGAAGGGTTACGTCTGTTCTCTGTAAAGGAACACCATTTGGGTGTTTTCAACTTGTTACAAAGATTTTAAAACAAAAAACCACACCAGGGAAGAAAACTGTTCTGATTGTTTCCTGACAAAAATTTATTAAAAGATTCATTTTCATATGATTACAAGTGACTCTTCAATACCTCTCAATTGTCTATGTCTCAAAAATTGTGTATGTTAACAACCAACCTTTCTTTTATTTTTCTGAAGCCAAACACGGTCTCGAGGCATTGAAAATTCTATTCTACAATCACGTGAGGGATATCGACCAATCGCTCGCCGAGCAGCAGTGATGTTTGATGTTGCCAGGATCATGGCTGAGATCAATACTTCTTACCAGACCTCTCTCGCCCAGTTTCTGATGGTGTTTGATGCTGCTATAAAACACTCAGAAAGGTAAACCTGTGTGAAATTAGCCAAGAGATGTGCCAAGGTCAGGCTGAATTTTATGATGGCTTTAGGCCTAAGGTCACGTGTACTCTAGCTGAAGCGACCAGGGTTTGTCATATCGCCTACAAGCTTGTAAATGGGTGCAAGTAAATGATAAAGGGACAGTATAGGAAATGGCGAAGGGGTAATCTAAAGAAGAATAATATTCCGTCCATTGAAGGTGTAACTTTCCCAATTTGGTTCATGCTTATAGAAACTTTAATTTTCATTAATATAGTGATATTCTTCTTTCTGTGATGGTCTTCAAACTGTTTTTTGGCGTAGATCCACTACATTGGCCGAGACCACGAGCTACTGTTCTCCGAGAAATAGGACAAAATGATCGCGTGAATTGACGAAAGCTTCCGAGCCACGCCCGATATTCTCAAGAAGAACTTTTCACAAACTGTTGAAGGTTTTACTCTTTTCTTTCTCTTTCAGAACTGCTGTAAAAGCAGTGGTGGAGAGGTTAACCCAAAGCGCGTTCTACACGGCAGCTCGAGCTCTGTTTGAACGGGACAGGCCTCTTTTTTCCTTACTTTGTGCTATTGAGGTAAACTCAACTCTGTCATAACAGGCTTGCTTAATTATTATTTCTTGCTGGTGGAACTGTTAATTCTTCATTTTGTCACATCCTCCTGCCCCTTTCTTTCCCACGGCAAGTGATAGAGCCTGTCACCAGCATTGGTTATTTTAGTATGGAGAGATGTCTTTGAAGATGGAAATTGAAAAAAAAAAAAGAAAAGTTCGAAGATGATTAAATCTGAAATTAGGAGATCCTCGCAGCTAAGAACACTACTGAAACGAGTAGTTGTAAATAGGACCTGAAAAAAATTTCAGGCCCGTACGGGATTTGAACCCATGACCTTTGCGATACCGGTGCAGCGCTCTACCAATTGAGCTAACAAGCCAACTGGGAGCTGGTCAATGAATTGGGTCCAAATAAAAATCCAAGTGAATAAAGATTTTAGATATATGAAAATTCACATATTTGCACTGCGGTGGAAAGATGAAATTAGGAGATTTTTTCAGGTCCTATTTACAACTACTCGTTTCAGTAGTGTTCTTAGCTGCGAGGATCTCCTAATTTCATCTTTCCACCGCAGTGCAAATATGTGAATTTTCATATATCTAAAATCTTCATGATTAAATCTTTTGATTGAGATAGCTCTATTTGCAATGATGATATGAGATGAGTTGAGATGGGCTTGTGGTCGGTGCATTGACTCATAAATTGAATCATAACTTTCTTTCTCATGACTACCCGAGTCATTGAGTTGAGCGACATGCTTTCACTCCACATCACTTCTTGCCTCCCAGGAGCTTAAATGGGAGGCAGCGACCTGTCGGAAACGAAGCGACGGGTAGGAGTAGTGAAAATACTCACAGTAGCATGTAACCTAGAGAGGCCCAGTTCGCTCCGAGTGTTAAATCAGTGAAAGCTAGTTTAAATAATTATTGACGGAAGGAAGAAACTTCTCGTTTACATCACCTTCTTCTTCGTTGTGTCCACTTGTAGGTTGAAGACTCGAGTGGTCGTGTGGGCCCTGGTGACCGCGAGTTCTTGATTCACCCATCATTCGGTGCGGCTGTGAAAACCGCGCTTCAACCCAGTGCCATGTCTGAAGCTGCGTCTCGCACTCTTTCTAAGAAGCCTTTTGATTGGTTGTTAGACGAGCAGTATTCTTATCTTCAGGTGAGTGCCTTGAGTTTCAGCGCCACTTGGGGACAAGAAACCTTGTCTCGAAGCGAATTCAGGAGATAAGAGAGAGCTTTGCCTTCCCGGTCTCTTTGAGGCAAGAAGTCTGACCATTTACATCAATGACTTCAGTAAATGATACAAACAGCTACTCAAAATTTAATAAACATCTCAGAGGGGGTAGGGTAGGGGAATATTCCAGTAACGACAATCCACATCAATCGCGTGCTGCGCTCGTGAGTCGTGATACACGGTTAAGGTGTATTTTCCAAGCTCAGTTATTTTCCTCAAGATAAACTGCGTTGTTGAACTGATACATATTTCTCTGCTTTTAGCTTTTAGCAACCCATTTTGAGTGGTTTCAGGACGCTTTCGAAAAGATGACAAGAGATGGACGTGAAACACAATGGAGGCAAATTACGGAACATGAAAAACCTGAGCTGGTTGCCCTTCCAGACGGCCTGGACGATAAGTACGTTGCGAATGATTATGGCCATGTGATAAACAGTTTTTCTTACGAACACCTCAACAGTTAAAAAGTACAGCTCATTTGTTTTAAGCCTTTTGGATAGCATGATAAACTGTTGCGGTTGCGTTCTATACCTGTCAGAACTGTCTTGATATGAGTTCTTTCTGCACGGTTTTCAGATTTACTCTGATTCAGAGGTTCATGGTGATCCGATCCCTCCGTGGAGACCGCTTGATGCCAGCTGCAACGTGTTTTATTACGTCTGTTTTGGGAAAGAAGTAAGTTTCCAACCTATTGGTTGAAGTTTGACGTTTTCTCACATCGTCGTCTTCAATGTCCGCTTAAAAAAAAAAAAACATGTTTCGTTTCATTTACGAAAACATTTTGAAAACATCACGAGGACGTTCCTCCGCCTTAAGTGTCAAACTATTCTCACTTAAAACCGTAAATTGAATAATGGATGATCTTATTTTGCGTTCCACTCAGGGTTTCACTAGGTTCGATTTCCGTCATTTTCGCGACTCCGGTCGTTGATCTTCCTAAGAGGGAACTTTTAGTCTCGTAAGGAACGCAAAAGGGATCGCATTCCGAACACAGATGGGTTGTCGAGCCTAAGTCACCAGAGTCTTCGACTTATCACCTCTCATTCTGCTCCTGGAATCTTTAAGACTGTATCGCAGTTTCAGAAGGCACAGATTCTTATTGCATGTAATGGTCTTGACTATGAATTTGCACAGCGTAACTGATTCATGGATAATGATTTGTTATACTTGTTGACGATTTTGGCAGTTTTTAAGAAATTTGAAGAGGCATGTTTATCGTTCTTTTCACTGCTTTATTCCCGACAGATACACTACAGAAATGCCACTGGACTTACCGTTTGCGTATCGTCAGAGCGAGAGTCGCACACCAATTGTGCTGCTGTATACCCAAGAAGCCAATATGGTGGAAAAGTTGGTTATTGAAGGAGCGCAAAGGAAACAGGTGTGCAAGTCGTTTGTTTGTAAGAATAGTTGGTGTCAAAAGTGTAACGATTTCTTTGTTTTTTTGTGTTTCAAATTTTCTTTGTTAATACTAGACTTTATGGATTTCTCGCTTCCAATTTGTTTCTCGGCAGGTGGAGTTGCATGTTCTTGCTCTAGCAAATGTTGGAATTGGCGAAGAACGTGCGGCAAGAAAGACGATCCACAAGGCCATGGTACAGGTGTGTAAACTGCAGCAGTGAAACTTGTTAACATTTGCCCTATAGTAAGGTAGAGGTGCTCCTTCTTGCTATTTGATAGCGATTGTAATCCTAAAGCCCAACCAATGGGTTAATATTTCAGGGAGGTAATTCAAAGAAAACGTTATTAGTTGTATACGATTTAGGCGCGGAGACGTGAATGACCAACACGCGGTTGATTTAAATTTGCTGCTGATGTGCTACGAGAGTGCTGCACGTTTTCTACTTTCTAGTGTTTCTTGTGTTTACTTACTTTCTTTGCCAACAAAATTTTTTCTAACTTGTTTTCTTTATCCAGGGTCACTGGGTTCTTCTTCATAACGCACACAATTCACCCCGTCTCCTGGCAGCACTTGACTCGTTCATGCAGGAGACCAAGACAGTGGACAGCGAGTTTAGACTGTGGGTGTCCGTCCACCCACACCCAGACATACCTTCCTCTCTTCTGCAATCTGCTGTAAAGGTTGTAGCTGACTCACCAAAGGTACCGCTTTAGATATAACGAAGTTAAAGAGGGTTAAGAAGATAGCTAACAGTTTGTAAATCTTTATAAACTTTAGGCAAAGTCTTTTATCACGTTGCTTGTAATCTGCGTTAGCCATCCTGAGTCACACTCGATTCTTTAAAGTTTATTCTTACATTCCTCGAGTTTCGATCGAGTGTCGTAATACCATAACTAAAGTATTCACAACAGCCAGTCATAACAGAGTAAAAAATACTACAAGGAGCCTGTGAACTCAAATTTTGAAACAAGAAAATTGTACAAAGCGGGGGAAAACATGAGTGACTAAGTCGCAATTGATGTAAGGTTTGGATGTTTGAGAAAGTTGCGCAAGTTTTCGGGACCAATCACGAAGTAACCCGAAGCAAGTTTTCGGGACCAATCACGAAGTAACCCGAAACCAAAGCAATCTTGGACTACTTTAGGCTCTCAACTGAAAACTGCTCCATCTGTCCTAACAAACGATTATTGAAGGTTTTATTTTATTTTCAAATGCAATTCTCTCTGACATTGATCCTCTTTATGTTGTGAGTCCCTCTAATTGCTTCATTAAAGCTGATGTAAGAAATTAGAGTGGTCGTGAACTACTTGTCGAGCCAAAGTTTTGACAGTCTCAACTTCTTCAGTTCACCAAGGGACATTAAAATTATCGTGGCGTACTTCCTCAAAGGTTTCGAGAATTCTCATTACCTTCGGGGGGGGGGGGGGGAAGATTTATATTATACTTATATATCAGGAGTGATATCTAATACAAATTGCCTTTCATTTTCTTTGACAGAACACAAAAGACAGCTTGCAGCGGTCCCTTCAGTGGGTTGATAGCGAACTGATGCGAGTGAGCATGCGTCCAGAGTGGCCTGCTCTGCTTCATAATCTGTGTATGTTACACAGTTTGGTCCGGTTACGAACAAGGTTTGGCTTGACTGGCTGGAACAAGCCTATGGACCTCAGGAACATAGGGACTGCGGAACTTTGGGTAAGTATCACGGATCATTTATGTGGTCGATTTCGGTTGTTCACAGTGGCAGATTTAATAATTTGACGTAAACAATTTTTTTCCACAGCAAGGGTTGGATCTGGCTGTACGCGAGTTTCAAGACAATGCAGATATGGCATGGCAAGGGGCTGGATCAACGAGGCCTATCCAGTGGAATGGATTACGGTATATGTTAACAGAGGTACGCCCTCCCCCCAACAACCCTCTTCCCCTCCTCTCCCCCCCCCCCACGTGACCTGAGAAAATGAATGGACATTATTCTTGTGGGCGAAATTCTTAAGCCTAAGCTTAATCTCACCACAATTTGAATGGTATCTTTAACCAGAAGTTGTAATATATTACAACTGAGCTTTTGTACTTTGTACCTTTTGACCGACGGAACTGCTTCCTGTTGCGCTAACTCTGCATGTTATTCACTGAGATTTTCGTAAATGAGAGAAAGCTGTGAGCTGTCATAGCACCGACCAGAAAAGTTCATCTGCATCAATTTCGACGAACTATTTTGTGATAAGGGAATCCTTTTACATTGCGCATATATTTTCATTATTTACGGTGACGTTTGGTGGCGAAAGTCGTGTGGCTGTGAAATTCTGATAATGTTCAAGAGCGGTGAAACAAATTTTAATTTAACCATTAAAGTGATTTTGTTATTGTTTATGACAATTAGGAGATGTTGTTTTTCGTTGATATCAGTTTTCATCATGTAAACTGCGGTGTTATGAAAGGATTTCCAGTCCTGAGAAAAGCCGTATTGAGGAGAAATTCCGTATCTACGAGTGCCTATGTATTATTCTCCATTTATCTTTGCTCATTGCGAATCATAATTACTTGTGTTGTGGGAAATTGCAGGTTGTGTACGGCAGAGGTGTGAGTGATGAATTTGACCGCCAGGGCTTGAGTGCCATGATTGATTACTGGATCAGTCCAGCCGCAGTCAAACGGGAATTTGAAGCTTCAAAGAGTATGTGTTTTTGTTTTTGTTTGATTTTTATTTTATTCACATTTTTGACAATGGTCCTGCATAGGCTTTTAATTGTATTTTCAAAGTATTTTGTCTTGCGTTCTTTTTTCCATAGTCAAGTACAAACTACCATCAGCTTTATTCAGTAGCAACGTGAAACTAAACAGCGTGTGGTCAGCGCTTGAGGGGCTTGCTGGTGAAAGTCTTGAAGTTCCCGAAGCATGTGGCCTACACCCCTCTCCTGAGGTAAGATAAACTGACTATTATACAAGTGGAGCATGCAAAACAGTATGGTTTTTCTAAAATGATCTGTTGTAAAGACTACTTTAAATCCTTAGACACTAAATAGTGGCTAGCATCTAATTTCTTTACGATATCGCCCCTGAACCACTCATGATGGCCACGAGAACAATGGAAATGATCACTAACTAAAAAAAATCTTGAGTGTTTAACACAACAGAATATTTACCTTGTGAGATAGAAAACGCAGGAAACAAATCACTAACCGAGACAGAGCAGGGATGGCCAAGGTTGCAGGGGATTAGATGAGATAAATTCTACACTCCCTCGAAAATTTCTGGGATTGGCTTCTAATTTTGCACGCAGCTGCCTCATTCAAACCACAGTAACATCGAAAAATTATAACGAATATGATTGGTTTGTTGTTTCAGACTCAGCTGGGAGACGAACAGTACGTTTTCACTCGTTTAAACTACCTACTGGATCGTATGGCTTCGTCCGACACGCTCACACACGCTGTTACGGAGCCATCCACGCTCTTGCCCTCCTCAGGTGTTATTCAGCAGAGTTCAGCTGCGCACACCAGTGGGGCAGGGTCAATTAGTATTGCTGGGGCGGGAGTGTTCGCTAGTGCCAGTCTAGTTTCGTTTCGTAGTCGGAAGGAAGTTGATCTAAACGAAGTATGCACGACAATGCTGGCGAAGATTCCAAAAGTTTGGTCGAAGGTGACTTGTATTCTTCTGAAGTTTCTGGTTTTTCTACTGTTTTTGTTCCTGTCAAACCCTTTCTTTGCTGATATATCAAATTAAATAGGCCTTTTTTCTATCAAAATTAACACTATCTTGTCTGACGACGGACAAACTAAATTAAAGCTGCTGTCTAAAAAAGAAAAGCCACAGGAACCTTAGCTTAGTATTTTGGAGAGGACGAAAGCCAGCGACAGAAAGCTTTCTTCGCAGTAGTGTGACAAACTTGTACGCCCACTACAGTATGAACATTCTAGCTCTCCTCCTTCTCTCTAAACGTTCCCCTCAGAGGTTTTATTAAACATTCGATTGCAAGAATTTTGTTTTATTTTTAATTTACAGGAGAGTGTCTACGAACGGATGAAGAAGACTGGAGGTCCAAACTCCTTTAACCTCTTCGTCATAGCTGAGATGGAATGTATGCATAGACTATTGGCGTGTGTTCGCGAAACTTTATTGGTAAATGACTTTTGTTTTATTCACTTTTTCTGTGCTACTATGAGACTGTATGTATCTAAGTTTTGGTTGAATTTCTGCTAGAATCTGGCGTATCAGTTAGTTTCCGAAAAAAAAGTATATTTTCTAATTAAAAATTGGTGGCCTTCTTCTTGATTCCATTCGTTTGGGTGAATTTCCCGTAATCCCTTGACAATTCTCTAGACATTTTCCGTATTCACTTTCTGATGGAACGGGAACCAAAGAGGTTTTACTACCTTTTCTCCCTCTGATATCATCAGGAAACAACAACAATTGAGTAGCAGTAAGGAGCACAAGTAAAGTGATGAGAACTTTGAAAATACCTTTTCTTGAGCGCTCCTCCCATAAATGTACAATAAATTCAAACAGCCAAATGAAGCACACGGAAATCTTAACCATTGCAAATCACTTTACGTTCGTTCGTTTTTCGTTTCAATTCTACAGTAGAGAATTTAAGTGCTCTGAGTTTTTTCGGTCTGGTATTTTCTTTGCCGCTAATATGCTGATCTGTCTGTTGCAGTCAATCAAGGCTGCTACTGAGGAGAGTCTCTGTGGTGACCGTATCAGCGAGGAGTTGCTGGACTCTGCTGATGACCTGTATCACATGAGAATTCCTAGCAAATGGAGTCAGCTAGGAGGAGAATCCTCCCCTCCCCCCACGTGGAGTTTAGCCGCCTGGTTTACCGACCTTGGAAACCGGTTTTCGCATATTGACCGAATTATTGTGCAGGTAAATAATAATCTATGCGAAGGCGGTTTGATGTTCTTATTTATCTTAATAATCGGCTGAAATACTTCCTCTTCGTTTATTAGGGTCGTGAAAGAGTACCGGCATATTGGCTTGGAGCCTTCTTTAACCCACGGCGTTTTCTCTCCATCATCAAACAGGTAACAGTAAAACAGCAAACGTTTCATTTGTAAATATTGGGTCTGCGTTTTGATCTCATTTATTGATACCTAATGGTCTTCCATAGGAGGCTGTCAGAAACTATGAAGGAAGAGTTTCAGGAACAGAACCGTTTGTGTATCAAACAGAAATCACTGGAAGAGATAAAGATCACGTAAGCAAGCCTTCTTTTTCTATTTAGGAGAAAAAGTGTACATTCGATGACCTAGGATGTTGTTTTAAAATATTATTGTCTCCTAGATCTTAAGCTCTTCTGTCCTAAGCCACTTGGCTGTTCCTTGTATAGTGCCGTGCAGGCGTTTTAATACAAATTACAACTGAATTTATTTTGTAGAAAACTGAACCAAGCAGCTATGACTAACACTTCTGGTTCTTGTTTAGTCTGTTCCTTTTTCTGTTTCTGAAGAGCGTCGTACCAAATTACAGGATAGTTTTGATTTGACTGATCCTAGCAGTATACAGGAATGGTTTCTTTGTACATCGTTCAGCGGGCCGTCAGATCCCTGAGACTCAATTGTGGTGCAACTCTGATTGTTGCCCTTCGCTCACGCTTAATTCAAAATTACATGTCCAGTAAATCACTTTATTTTAATCGTTTTAACAGCTTGAAATCACAAATTGCTGTTTTATTTAATTTTACCTTCTAGTTGAGAGAACCACCACTAGACGGAATGTTCGTGTACGGTATCTATTTGTGGGGCTGTGCCTGGGAGAAAACCACCGGGGACCTTTTGGACGCTCCTCCAAAGTCAGGCCCAACCCCTCTCCCTGTGGTACACATTGTTGCTCTTCCTCAGACTGAGAAAGCCTCCTTGAATGACCCCGTGCGTGCCGCTGTGTCTTACTCGTGCCCATGCTACTCGTCCAGGATTTGTCAGCGAGAGCCTGTTATGCTTTTGGACGTGGATAACAAAGATGTTCCTTCCACGCGCTGGCCCCTCAGGGGACTTTCTAGTACATTGAGACCTTTTTAAGTGCCTTCTGTAGACACTTGAAACTTATGCACTAATGGCCTCATTTGAAGTAGAACCTTTATGAGTTCTTTAAATAATTACTTCCGTTATATTCCAGAGGTCGTTTTATTGTGCTGGTCTATTCCTCTGGTTCTTTACTCTGCTCAATTGTTCATGTGTTGGTGACTGTTACAAACGTTAGCACCAACGAGTTCATTAACCAAATTCTAGAAGTCGTTTATTGTTACGTCATTTTAAGCAGACAAATTTGTGTGCCAGAGTGAGGTTAATTAGCATAACTGAAAAACAGGAGCAATGCAGTTAAAACAAAATTGAAAATTCATGCTCATCAGCATGATTCACACTTTGTTCACACCAGATGTTCCGGAGCGTTCGATCTGTTTTTTTGTTTTTTTTTTTTTACATCAAAAGATTATTCATTGCTCTTAAGTCTGAGACCATAATTTATTACTTTGTACTTTGGCGAAATGTTTATCATGGTTAAGTGAATGTAATTGATTTCGATAGGATTCTTCTCGCCACTCACTTTTGTACATAAAATACAATATTTTTGACAGAAGTTAGATGGATGTGTTTTTTGGGCTTGCTCTTTGACGTTTCGTTAAATGATACCAAAAGGAAAGACACTTAGCATGCTAAATTACATGGCAGCATCTTCTTTGAAACAAGAACAGTAACGACATGGTATACTCTCAGCTCTAACTCGAAGTACCCGGCCTGGTTAAATCGGTCCGGCGACTTATCGGACGTGACACCACTCTGTTTCCATGTCTCTTGATGCACCAAGGGTACAGTGAAAGTAGAATCTGCTGATAACCTTGGCGGTAATTTTTGTTGCTCAGCCCGTAGATGAACGGGTTCAAACAGCTGTTGACCAACGCCAAGAGCGAGAGAACGTGGTGTACAGTGTTATCTAGTCTTGTTTTTCCCGCCACTGCCAGGGTGTAGTTAATCTGAGACGGTGCGAAACAGATTATTAATGCCAAAGAAGCCGCACCAACCATCCGCGTTATTTTTCCGCGCAATTTAGCCTTGCTCTCATCTGAGGTGACTGTGGATTTGCTTGCTTTGTAAACCATGTGAATGAACAGGAACAACATGGTCAGACACGGAAACGCCATTTTGAAGAAGGTTTGAATGACTGCGATAATGATGCGGACTGTTTGAGTAGCCGAGCCAAAGTTCCATTTGCATCGGCTATTTGGGGGATTCGACGATATGTAGGAGAGCTGAAACGAACTTGAAGCACAAAGGATAACCGACCACAGCCACACGAGGAAGATATAAACGAGCGTGCGCTTCTTGTTGAAGACCTGGTTGTACTGTTGAGGCTTAACCACTGCAAACCAACGCTCCGTTGCCAAAGCCATACAGATGTAGGCAGAGAAAACCAACAACTGGAAGAGAAACGTACGACTCCAAATAATTCGACAGAAGACCTCGCCCAAGACGTGATTGTTAGGATAAGGAAACGCGTCACCAAGGACCAAAGCTGGGTTTGTGACAAGCATCAAAGCGGTGAGAATATCAGACATGGCCAAGGATAGAATCAAAATGTTGTAAGATTTCTTCAAAAATTTTCCTTTTTTCACAAGGATGAGGAGAATTACAAGCAGATTCCCAAGAAAGGCCATCGTGGCAATAACAAAGCACGTTGTCTGAGTGTATAGTGATCTTCCAATCTTCACTTCGCTTGCTGGCGCAGCAGAGGAAACAGTCGTCGAAGCATTCGATGAAACATTTGTCGAATTCATATTTGCATATTACTCACAATGGTTCTAGATACTAAAAAGATAAAAGAAAAGTTATATAAGACCCGTTTAATCCTTATAATCCCAGAGGTGATTAACATGTAATTTCTCCCTGTGTTATCAACAAATTATCCTACAAAAAGTGAGGAGAATACTAAAACGTATCAGGTAGAAGTTGTTATCGTGATCTAGCACCGAATTCTCGTAATTAAATACGAGGAAATATGTAGCAGCTGGAGGGGGAAATTTACAATCGGGTCTTGGGATTTTAATGGTTAATTTGTTGTGCATATAAAGTTCCCACGTTTCCTAAGGAGGATTCGTGGGCCACGAATATGAGACATGAACTTATGTGGAGTTGTTTTTGCAAAATGGCACCACACAACTAACAAGCTAATTTCTTTTACACTCAGAAAGAGAGAAAAAAATAAAATCCAATCAAAAAAATTTAAGCCACAAAGAAGAAAGTTTGCGTATCGTGCGAGTACTTTCTCTTGGGAAATTGACCACGAATCTTGATTTAAAGCACGAGAAAACATTAAGTCAAAGCATTTTGTCACGGTGAAAAACAATTTTCCTACTCTCTTCTCGTACTGATTCCAGGTGAGAATGTCGATCTCTGAGATGCAAGATGATCCTGAAATTTATATGCGTACATATCTATGTGCGCTTATTGTTATCACTGAAACATTCATTTTTATCGCTCCAAATTGGCTTGCATTTACATGACATGACCTAAGAAAAAAAAACAAGCTAGCAAGAAGGAAGCTGTGGTATCTTCAAAGATGATCGTCCTATTTTACTGAAGTCCAAGGATCATACGGAAAAAACCATTCGTACCGCACTGTGATTTTTTTTGATGGAAATTAAAACATCTACAGAAATAAAATAATGATGTTTTTTGGTACATATGACGAAAAAATAAGAAAAACTGAATCTATGGCTTAGTGGAGCACGTGCTCCTTTTCGGTACAACATTCTGGCCAATTCTCTGACCGCAGGAATAAAGGAGAATCGAGAATATCTATGTGATGACATATTCGTCCTGTTTATTCCTAGTTTCTATAACGTTGAGAATATGAGGCAAAAGCGGGAGGTAAAGGATACCGTGAGTGAGAGTCATTTTTAAGGTGAAGGAAACCGCGTAAAAAATGTTTCTTGCTGACGAGTGGAGCACCAAAAAGGGGTTAAAACTTACTTACCTACTCTATGAGGAACATTGGTTTGAACCTCTTGGTTCTATGCAATGATGATTCATTTACACTTTTTACATGACTTTATCCAACTGCGAGTGTTTCATGGTTTTTGTATTAACCATCAGTGATAAGCAAGCTGAGAGCGCTTTACACGTGAGAAATATATGCCAACCAGCCAAACAATGGAAAGAAATAAAATAAATCAAAATTATGAGATCTTGACAGAGTTGTTCGGATATGATTGTAAAAAAGTTAAGTATTACCACAAGGCAGTAACGCGGAAAAATCCTTTTATTTGTTTTTACAAATGTTAACTTGAAAATCTTTCTCAGGGGGTTTTACAGTTTAAATTGATTAACGGCACTCGTCCACGCAATCCTAGACGTTCTATTTTGAATAATTTGTAATATTATAACTATCATCATTATTATCTTTGAGTTCCTACGACATTTGAACTAAGTACCCGTCTGAGTGACATCAAACTCGTCTAGTTTACTTCGTAGTTCTAGTTCTTACTTTTCAGATACGTACTTCATGGCTTTCAATTTCAATTTACATATTTAATTGTGCTTAATTTTTCTAATCTGAGGCAAAATGTGTTTCCTATCGGTAGCATTCCAAATTTGTCTTCCAGATTTATCCTTCAAATCCGCTTTCTCTCAATTTTAGGTGAAATTCCAAAAATTAGTTTTTCTCAGACCATTGATTTACGAAAGTGAAAGATTATTTAATAATTTCTCATCAAGCGAGAGGTACATGTAGATATCCTACCCTTTCACCGACTCTGAGGTTAAATATTTGTTCTGGTTATCACCGTACAAGCCTCCTATCTAGCGGATCAAGAAAATGATTGTAGTTTTGACAAAATACTAAGATAAGTACAACCGGAGATATATTTGGACAAATGTTGCCCGGCAATGCTCATTCGTGCACAAAAAGTCATATTAGACAAGAGATAGAAAAGGGTGTTTAAAAACGAGAGATTTCGGAAATTTGAGGATACACTGATGATCTCGCATTAATAACACAATTCCTCTGCAAGAAACGAAGAATAACGAGCTCACATGTTAGTAAACATACGAAACAAATTCCATCTTGCCTGCAACAAATGATCCTTCCAGACGATGATGCTTTGTGATCAAATTAAGATAAACGTATAAACTTCAAAAGTAATTGTCTCCGTTACTAAACTATTAGTACCGAGGTTGCATAAATTATTTAACAAATAGAGAAGCCTTGACTGTGCTCTGTTCTGTTTTATAATAAAGTTCGGATATAACGCGCACTGTCATTGGTTGAAAGAGCGTGCTCTATGAGAGTATAGAGCATAGAGCTGAGCTAAAGCTGTCACGTCATCTGCCAAACTGTACTATGTTCGAGCTTTTCCGGGACTTCTTTTTAGGTTTTTTCCGATAATTGAAAGTGAAATTTCGGATCTGAAGCGAGCCGACAAGTAGCAACAGAAGAATCAAACAAAGGTTTGTAAACATACCAGGCGCCGTAATTTACGTTATTAAAACGTGAGCAGATACGAAAATCCTCAAAGGAAAAACAAAATAGACATTCGAGGTTTTAAAGATTGATTCACGCTCAGTTAGATTGCAAGCTTACGTACGGAAATAAAAATCAAACACAGCTAACACTCATATAGTATATAAAGTTCAGTGTTCGATAACAAAACAGAACAAAACAGAAATGATGAAAAATATAACCAAACTGGCATAACTGTTAAAATTCATTCTAATCATGACGGTGTCTGAGCGAATATGATCATACTGAAGTCCATCGCGGCTCGCTCATCATGGCGATCTCCGGTCATCACAGCAAGTCTCAGAAACTACATCGGCCGCCCTTCGAGTGAAAAAATAAGAGCTTGCTCTGATATCCTTTCCGATGCGTTGAGTGGAAAGTCACATCTGTCATTGCAGCCGAGTTTTGCGACGCTGTCATCCCGAGCGATCTTCATGTTCCGGTGAATTCGGCTGTCGTTCATTCAAAAAACACTCGCCTTGAACAGTTTGTTTTCTACCTTGTCATATGAAAAAACTCGCGTGTTTTTATGAGCCATAATTCGGCTGAAGTTCACTGAACATTTCACTTCAAGATTCTGTATTAGAGACTTAAAAACTTCGGGCAAAAGTGTTAAAATCGACCTACCGAACTATTTTAGTTTGTAAACTATCGCAGAAGGTGAACTTTGATGGTTTTTTAACTTTGATGGTTTGACACTTTTGACAGCTTTAGTCTTGTACAGCCAATCAGATTATTTGAACCATTCTAACAGGGATTCTGATTGGCTTATTTTAGCGTGCTTTATGAGAGTATAGAGCATGCTGACGACACTGTTGTTCGCTTTGGAAATAAAGTTTGTTTTGAAAATTGAAAGTAATGTTCGGGGAATTTAATGGATTCTTTATTATAAAACAAATAGAGAAGCCTTGACTGTGCTCCGTTCTGTTATAAAGCACTTAGGAAGCGGCTAGAGCACTCAAGAAGTGGGGAGAAACACTCGACTAGATCTCGTGTTTCTCCCTACACTTCTTTCCTGCTCTAGCTGTTTCCTGCGTGCCTTACAGCAGAACAGAGCACAGCCAAGGCTTCTCTATTTGTTAAATAAAGCACGAAGGAAGCGGCTAGAGCACGAAAGCAGTGTAGGGAGAAACACTCGACTACGTCTCGTGTTTCTCCCCACTTCTTGAGTGCTCTAGCCGCTTCCTAAGTGCTTAATAACAGAACAGAGCACAGTCAAGGCTTCTCTATTTGTTTTATAATAACTATTTGTAGTATATGTAGTTTCTAAGGCTTGCTTTACTGTAATGATCGGAGATCGCCATGCTAAGCGAGCCGCGATGGACTTCAGCATGATCATATTTGCTCAGACACCGTCATGATTAGTATGAATTTTAACAGTTATGTCAGTTTGATTATATTTTTCATAATTTCTGTTTTGTTCTGTTTTGTTTATGAACTCATAACTTTATATACTAAACGAGTGTTAGCTGTGTTTGATTTTTATTCCCGTTCGTAAGCTTGCAATCTAACTGAGCGTGAAAATCATTAAAACTCGGAATGTCTATTTTGTTTTTCCTTTGAGGATTTTCGTATCTGCTCATGTTTTAATAATGTAAATTACGGCGCCTGATATGTTTACAAACCTTTGTTTGGTTCTTCTGTTGCTACTTGCCGGCTCGCTTGTTCCGAAATTTCACTTTCAATTATCGGAAAAAAGCTAAAAATAAGTCCCGGAGAAGGTCGAACATTGTACAATTTGGCAGATGGCGTGACAGCTTTAGCTCAGTTCTATGCTCTATACTCTCATAGAGCACGCTCTTTCAACCAATGACAGCGCGCGTTATATCCGAACTTTATTATAAGTATATTTAGAAAAAAAGAGGGAGGATGTGTTTGCCACCATAGCAACAGTGGTAATAAAACCAAATTGAAAGGTGTTCCCTCAGTCACACTCTAAGAAGCAGCAATTGTTAAAATCTGCATAGGATTGCGTTTCCTGTCCATTGTTTATAATGAGAGGTAAGTCTATTTAACAGACTTCTTAAACTGTGAGAAATAACTTGTTCTATCAGTTAAGATAATTCTAGCTTACCTGAATCGATGTTTTGTCGCACGGCATCAAGGTTGAATTAGTTTATCTGAGCGAAAATGTTAGACAAAGCTAGCATTGATCTAAATATGATTAAGAATCTTCCGCGAACAAGAGCAATGTTAGAATTGTCAATCGAATTTGGAAGATGTATGTCTTATGACTCTTCTGAAATTTCGCTCTTAGTTCCAACTATGGGTGTTAGA